ATAACATTGCTCATATCAAAAGCGATTTTTGGCCACTTTAGTATTAAGTAGGGAAAAGCATATTGGGGAAGGAATGGGCCTTTAGTCCGTCCTCCTTGCTTTCCAATCGGAGCTGTTCATGTCTCTGCTCTTGCATTTCGTTTTGTGAATGGACCTACTGTATATCCTTTCTTTAACTAGATGGGTGAAGTCAAGTGCTTTCCCAACCTCTTTTCAAAACCTTGTAAACTACAGCCCCTCCTCTCCTTTTCACATAACCACACACACACACAAAATACTTCACAAGGGCACACACATCTCTTGTTAAATAATGAATGGTCCTGACGAATAAGCCATGCTTTTCTGTGACTGGCTTCTCTGGAATGTGTAGCGCTAACCTAGTTTCAGTTCTCTTGAGCTCCTGGAGGTTTTTATTTTTAATGGAAAGGCTTTTGCATGTGTGCACGCAAACACACACACACATACACAGAGAACCCCTCCGAATCGGTCCATGTGACTGCTCAGTCATGTGTTTGTCCTTTTATTCATGCAAGGCAAGTTTCTACAAAGGGGGGGGGGGAGAAAAGAACGGAACGTATTTATTATCAAAACCTTTTAGTATTTAGTGTAAACGTCTGTGTAGCCAATCTGAACTGCTAATACTTCCCCACCACATTTTTTCTAGTTGCACATAGGGTTGACTACAGAGATTTTAAACAATAACTAAAACACTACTCCCAGTGGGTTGTTGTACGTTTTCCGGGTTTTAGAACATGGCCATACAACTTGGAAAACCTACAACAACCCAGTGATTCCAGCCATGAAAGCCTTCGACAATATATTGAACTACTTCCAGTGTTAGTTGTTTCTGAGTTGCTTTGCTATTCTTGTTTTTGTTCAAGCAATCTTGTTTCATTTCCATCAAAAGACTTCCAGATGACTGCTGTCATCTCCCTTTGACATGTCTGTGACAGAGCAACGGGAGCCAGTGTGGTCTTCCGCATTTTCGTCAATGGATTCAAGCTTCAGCCTCTAATGTGGATCCCACTCATGAACCACAATGTTCTGGCCGCTCTCTCTCTAACACACATCTTTTCTCTCTCTGAAAAGACTCTCAGCCCTCCACATTGGCTGGTGTTAGAGGTGCAATATCCAATGAAAAGGTTGAGAAACCATGAATTAGAAAGCATTTTTTGTTTACATGATAACACCTCTGTAGGAATCTCTAGGTCAGGGGTCCTCAAACTAAGGTCCGGGGGCCAGATATGGCCCTCCAAGGTCATTTACCCATCCCTCACTCAGGATCAACCTAAATCTGTAACTACTTGAAAGCACACAACAACAACAACAACAACAACAATCCTAACTCATCAGCCAAAAGCAGGTCCACACTTCCCATTGAAATAATAATAAGTTTATATTTGTTAAAACTGTTCTTAATTTTAATTATTGTATTGTTTTTGAATGTTTTTTACACTACACATAACATATGTGCAGTGTGCATAGGAATTCATTCATGCTTTTTTCAAATTATAATCCAGCCCTCCAATAGTTTGAGGGATTGTGACCTGGCCCTCTGTTTAAAAAGTTTGAGTTCCCCTGCTCTAGGTCATCCAGAACAACTCCATCTTCTGATGGCAGCTAACCAAACATTATACTGGAGAACCTACCCAGAGAGGTTTTCTGTCTAGTAATATCTAGGCCTTCCAGTGTAACTTTATGGGGTTTTTTTCATGTCAGGAGTAACTTAAGAAAGTGCAAGTTGCTTCTGGTGTAAGAGAATTGGCTGTCTGCAAGGACATTGCCTAGAGGACACCCGGATGTTTTGATGTTTTACCATCCTTGTGGGAGGCTTCTCTCATGTCCCCTCATGGGGAGCTGTAGCTGACAGAGGGAGCTCATCTGCGCTCCCAGATTTGAACATGCAACCTGTCGGTCTTCAGTCCTACCGGAACAAGGTTTTAACCCACTGCACCACTGAGGACTCTATGGTGGAAGTTAACAAGAGAGTGATGCTGGAAAACCTAGAGATTTCTAGAGTGAACATATTACTTAAATCTGCAAATAGTCACATCTGTAAAATCCACAAATGTGGAGGGCTGGCAATAGTGCCAGATGAAAATAAGCAGTGGAGGTGGAATATGCTACCTTGTAGTGTGGTGGAATCTCCTTCTCTGGAGATTATTAAACAGAGATTGATTCCTGCATTGCAGGAGGGTTGGACTGGATGGTCCTTGTGGTCTCTACCAACTTTGTGATTCTGCGGTGTTGCGTCTATGATGCTCCCTACTAAGCTAATGTGCATGACTGCCCATTGTAGACCAGAAATTGATGACCAAAAGAGCTAAGTAACACAAAAAGAGACAAATATCCTTAGATGCACTGTGGGTTATTTAGCAGCAAGTATCTTTATGTTCTTGTACTCTGAGGGCTGGTTCTTAATGTTCCACTAGAACAGAGGAAATCCAACTTCTAATCCTCACTCAGCCATGAAGCTCACTGGGTGACTTTCGGTGAGTCACTATCTCTTACCATGCTTGTTGCAAGGATAAAGTTGGGAAGTGGGAGAGAGAAATTACCTAGTAGCAAAGTGTGTGTCTGTGTATTTTAAAGTCATTATGCTACGCATAATTTCACAATTATTGTATTTTGTGAAGCCTTTGGGCATATTCCAGGTTTCTCTGCTAAGGAAACTAGATTTTTGTGGAGAAAAGGTTGGGCAAGATCCTATGTGCAAACCATAGAAATGGGACCAGATTAACCAGCAGAGACATTCTGAAGAATTTGGCGTTTTTGTAAGAACAACAAAGATTGCGGGATCTCTCCTGGAAAACTTATTGTGACATACCCACGAGTGGTTAATAGGGGGAAAGTGCTTTGGCTTGTAGGTTGGTGTTGAGCTCAGTTTCAGATGCTGAGTTTGACCTACTGAGCCCTATCTGAAAGCTAGCTCTCGCATGCAAAAGACATACCAAAACTTGAGTTCATCAGTGCAGTCCTTATGGCATGTTACAACACCTTGTGAGATCAGGTTGCTGTGTACATGTGAGAGGTCTTTTTCTGCATCCACTGTGGAACTACCTGCCAAGGGAAGTTAGGCTGATTCAATCTATTCTAAGCCTCTATTGAGCAATTAAAATAGTGTCCTCCATTCACTGTGTGTTGTCTTGGGTGCAGTGAAATGTTGCAAGGTGATATTTAAATGCTTTTTTAAAGTGTAGAATGATGGCTATGGAGAGTGAACGCCATGGAAGGAGAAATGTTCTCGTATCCCTGCCTCTCACCTAGATATTGTTGCGTGCAGTAATTCTTGTGCCCAAATATTTGCTAATGTCCAGTTATATGAACTACAGACCTATAATTCATATAATTGGACCTACCATGAGATATTATTAACATTTTAAGAAAAATGAAATATTTCAGTTGAATTTTAGATATCATGCATCACAGGGTAGAAATAGGAGGATGGAGTTCTGTAGCCTTGTCTGTGGAGATGCTTGTTTGTCTTTAGCTGTTCAAGAAGAAGCACATATACAAAAATTGGTTATTGCTGTGTCTCTATGACTTAGATAAAATCGTAGAATTCCTTTGCTGCCTTTTTTATATCTTATAATCTACTCTGATTTGTGGTTACCGTGGCATGCGATTTTCTTGGCATGGTTGATTCAGGCGAGGTTTGCCATTGCCTTCCTCTGAGGCTGAGAGAGAGTGACTTGCCCATGGTCACCATGGGATTCCATGGCGAAGCAGGGATTTAAACCCTTGTCCCCTATTTTTTTTTTTAAAAAAAACCCTAATTGTTTGACACAAACAATTTAATATATAATCAGAAAATATACATTCAAAAATAATGAAACGTGTCTAGATCTGTATGCAAATAGCAACTTGTGCAAAATAAATATAACATACTTTACCATTCACCCAAATTTAAGACATTTTCAAAGCAAAATCCATGCAAACTATTCCTGACTAGAATTATTGGTTACAATGTTTTAGGAAAAACTGTTTCCCTCTGGATAATAGCAATAGTGCCACCAGATACTTCTTCCCCGTCCCACCCCCCTCCATATCATATGCAAAAAATCCTAATGCATTAAAAAAAAACTCCTTGCAAGACAGGAAATATATCTGCATGATCAAGAGAATTTCAGAATATGTCTAAACACATCATGATATCACATTAATAATAATAAAAAATAACCCCATAAGAATGGGAGCAGACAATGAAGTATTTTCTTATGATTTAAGCTTTCTATTTTACATATACAGGTATGGATAACTATAAAAACCCAATTTGCATAAATTGAAAGATGTTTAAAATCATAATCAAACATTTCATTAACATTATGCCAACATGTTTAACCTTTTCAGGAATCACTTATTTCTAATTTTGTAGCTTTCCAGCTTGTCCATATAGCAATACGTATTTCTTTAAAAAAAATATTTTTCCTTTCTCTCTTCTTCCTCCCCTCTTTTCCCCCTTTCCCTTCCTTTCCCTGACAACCATACATAATCCCTTTTCTAAATATCAACATAACGTTCGCATCTCAAGAGTTCTGCCATAATACATATACTATGGAAAAGAAAGTCACATCAACCCTTGTCTCCTGAAGTCCTTGTCTACCACTCAGACCACAACACCATGTTGACTTCCAGGGCTTGGTGTCTGTATTTTGTATACTTCTAATTAGGAAAGCATAGCTGTACTCACCATTTGCTTCTTTGGGTTTTTCTTGGGTGCATATATGTTTAGAAATAGACAATAAGCTATTTGTTTATAACATCAGTAGTACAAGGCATGTAGAGTCCTCACAAATGGCTTTTGTTTCTCCAGCAAAGTGGCACGTCAAGTGCTTCTTCATATAGTTGTAGTTCCCACTTGGTACTTTTGGAATGTCTGTCTGTTGTCATTTCTGTGATGGCTCCTCTGGCTCTTTTCCCCAACCCCACTTTCCTTTTTGTTTAAGTCTAGCCAATGGATCAGGGCTACAAATTTTAACCTCAAATGTGTTGTCTTGCAGCTTGAGGTACCTGAACGCTTCTGCCAACAAACTGGAAATGCTACCTCCAGCCACTCTTTCGGAAGAGACCTGCAGTATTTTACAAGAACTGTATTTGACCAACAATCACCTCACGGATAAATGCGTGCCGTTGTTAACAGGTCATCCGCACCTGAAGATCCTGCACATGGCATACAATCGGCTGCAGAGCTTCCCTGCAAGGTAGAGTAACATGCTGTGCTGGCTGTTTCCAGATGTTAGACCATAAGCTACAGGTTGAGTGTCCCGTATCCAGAATTCAGAAATCCAAAATACTCCAAAATTGTCCTCATGGGTGGCTGAGATAAGGAAACCTTTGATTTCTGATTCAGTGTGCACAAAATTATTAAAATATTGAATATAATTTTACTTTCAGGGTATATGTATAAGCTGAATGTGAAACGTAAATGAATTCTGTGTTTAGGCTTGAGTCCCATCTCCCAAGATATCTCATTATGTATATACAAGTGTTCCAAAATCCCAAAATATGAAATGCCTTCTGGTCCCAAGCATTTCATATCAGGGAAACTCAACCTGTACTGCTGCTGATGGTGATGATGGTATTGTTTATATAGTACTATCGTGAAAAATGACCAAAAGTATAAGAAAAGTCTAAATTACAGCCTACATTTCTATAAGGTATGGGGGGGGGGGGATAAAAGGGAAGGGTAGGGAAAAAATAAACATAACATAACAACAACAAGAACACAACAACAAAAACAATGACCAGAAAAGAAGGGAATGAAATATTGGGATCTTTTACAACAGGTGGATTTATGTTTGGCGTGAAAGGCATACTTTCTCTACTCAGATATATTTTATCTGTAGCTTTTAAAAAGGAGAAGATGGGAACAATGTGAGACGTTTTTCTATCATGCACACAAACTTGGTTGGACTAGCTTCAACAGCCATAGAGGCTATAATCAATAGATCAAGGATTTTCAAGGTTATGAAGTCTTATAGAAGGTAGACTGGGAGAAAAGCATGTGTATACTGTACACACAAAGGCAGACTGAGTTTCTGAGGATGCTCAGCATTTACTCGGTCAGCATTTCAAAGGAGGAAAGGAGAGACAGAATATTAGCAACAGGTCATGTTTTTTTAAAAAAAAGACCACAAGGAAAGAGGAAGGTTAGGGATAATTTTGCCCGTAGCAGTTTCTGCCGAATCCCGAAGCCCAAGGGTCATGATTGTCAGGTGGAAGGAGACAGGTTACATCTGCCTGCTGGCTTAATTGATACCCATGTGGCTGAGTTAGGGCAGAGTTTAGCAGAAATGTTTGTCTCTATTGGGAGTCATGGGAAGATTGCATTTATTGTATCAAAGAAGGACTACCGGAAAAATATGTGGCTGGTTGTTTTGCACTTCCACGAGGAATTCATTCCTCCACATTCTGCCCCTTTCCTCTTTCCCACCAATTCAGTTCCTTCTGTCACAGTACATGCCCTAGGCAAATCTCCCTGTTCTGCCAATTTCCTCATCTTCAGTCCTCCCAATATTTTTTAGCATCATTTTTAGCCTCAAGTCGGCATAGCAAGTTTTTAGTCTCTCGGCCGAGCTGACCTTCAGCTTCACAGCTGTTGCACGGTTCTCAAGGCCTCTATGACTGATGAGTTTTCCCTCGGTATTTAGGGTGTTTGTGTTTATCCAATAGCCCTAGTGGTGGATCTAGATGTGTTCAAACACAGTTTTCAGGACCCGCCCCCCCCAAGAAAAGTCAGCAATGCCTGGGATGTGGTGCCTGGGGGATTCCATGAGTTGTAGCCTCTTGGAATCCTAAACCTAACCACACACATTTGGATGAAACCAGCTTGATTTAGACTCTCAGTTTTACTTTATGTCTGAATTACACACATAACTAAATTAAGTAAAAGAGGGTCTATTGTGCCCCACAATTTGTCTGCCTGCCATTCCCTACTCACTGATTTACCAGATCACTAGCATTGGCATTTACACCACCATCTCTAGCTAGGAAACCACACACTCTACTGCCTGGTGTCTTAAAAGGGAGAAGTTTTATGATGGCCATCTGCCGGGGGTGCTTTGAATGCAATTTTCCTGCTTCTTGGCAGGGAGTTGGACTGGATGGCTCATGAGGTCTCTTCCAACTCTATGATTCTGTGATTTAACATTCCAGCAATACTGTTTGTTGTACAATTAAGGAGGGAGAAGCAAGGCTGTTGCATATGCTAGACACAGATGTTGCTATGCCTTGCATGCAGTGCAGCTATATTATAAACTGTATATACTTGAGTATAAGCCTAATTTTTCAGCCCTTTCTAAGTCTGAAAAAGCCTCACTTGGCCTATACTTGGGTGAGGGTCCTGGCGGGAAGGCATGGGTCTGAAAGAAGGGCTTTTTTCAGCCCCATCCCTTCCTGCCAGGACCCTCACCTCTCCGCACAGCAACCCAGCTCTCCTTCCTCTCCTCATCTCTCAGCACCAGTCTTTCCCACTTTTCCTTATTCATATACACACAGCAGCACCCCCCCCCCCCAAATATATAGTTAATATAAACTATGGTGATTATTGGAAGGCTACGTAAGCACATTTACATTGAAGAAGGTTAGAATGATGATTTAATCAGAGTTGGACCGTTTTATCTTAAATTACAGTTTTATGTAAATATTCAAAAACATTCAGCCTACTGATGCCTCAATTAATGTAATTGAATCTTGGCTTATACTCAAAGCAATATGTTTTCCCAGTCTTTTTGTGGTAAAAATAGGCTTGTATTTGGGTCGGCTTATACTTGAGTATATACGGTATGTTTTTAAATGCCTCAAAGAGCTTACATGTAGGCAGTAGAGCAAACTAGTTATTTGTTCTTCCAGAGGGCAGCAGGGATAGAAAAAGTGGGTAGATATTGTAAAAAGGTAGGTTTTGACTAGACATTTGGGAGAAACATGTTAATAGTAAGAACTGTTCTGCAGTGAAACATAATATCTCAGGATGTGGTGGGGAATGTATTAGCAGAAGCTTGGTTTGAGTTATCAAGGATGCGATGCTTGAATCCTACATCAAACAGCCAATGTTGAGCAGACCTTTCACTAGCTAACCTGCAGGGTCCCTTCAAACTCTGGACTTCAACCCAATGTTACCATCTTGTAGTGTTAATATAACACTTCCTTTCTCATTTTGTCCTTTGAAATAATTAGTACACTTATTTTACAAGCAGGAAATATGGATCTAAGACTTCTACAGAATCTCACTCAGCAAAAAAACCAAGAACATGGGTGAGCAAAAGAGGCAGTCCTGTATCAAATTTAACTACCAGTAGGCCTCCTGTCACCTTCTGAAATTGTCAATTCAGATGGCTGTGCTGTTTGTGCAAACTACATGTTTATCAAGAGATAAATACATTTTTGAAAGAAACCCGTTTTAAATTTATATAAATCATTGTTTGTGTGTGTGTGTGTGAGTGAAAGAGAAAGAGAAAGAATGTTTTTGATCACTGCTTAAAAACAAACTCTGCTCTTTCTTTCCTTTTCTTATAGCAAAATGGCCAAACTTGAAGAGTTGGAAGAAATTGACGTGAGTGGAAATAAGCTGAAATCCATTCCCACCACCATCATGAACTGTCGGCGAATGCATACTGTGATTGCACACTCCAATTGCATTGAAGTCTTCCCGGAAGTCATGCAGCTTGGCGAAATCAAAGTACGAGCTTCGTATTTGAATAATTTACCCTAAGAGCTCCTTTCTGGATGTTTGGAAGTAGTCCTTAGCAGAAATGTAGCATATTCAAAATGCTCAGATACCAAAGTGTGATGTCTCATGTAATCAGTGAAGTGAGGTGCAGATAGATGAGCTTGCATTCCGCCCAGTCCTTAGAGAGAAAGGATTCCATGAATATTCCATGTTGTCTGTGTCCAGATGTGCAGGGTGTTGTCCTGAAGAGACATTTTTGCACATACACACTCACCTTCTCCTGCCCCAATCGCAAGTTCTTGTTTATCAATAGTTTTTTTTTGGTGGGGGGGGGGGGGGGGGAATGCAATTGTACAAAAATAGACCAAAACTCTCCATCTATTTCTGGATCTCTTTCCCCACCTCCAGTTTAAAAAATCCTCAGAAAATGGAAACCAGCAGTGAATTCTGGTCATTTTGAATGTGTTTTTTTGCTTTATTTTGAGCCTGTTTGGAAACCCTGTAGCACCTGGTGGGACCCTAGGAATTGGCGCCATATCCATCACAGTTGCCAGGCCCTGGTTTAAACTCTGACTTTTCTTCTATGTTTGTCCTACCCTACATCCACCCCAACAAAGACTCTGCTGCTATTTCCAAGAGAGACTCCATTGATAGATGAATATCTTCAGCAATGTTCCATTTCATTGCCGTCTATTGGCTTTTTTCCTTGTGATTTCTTACACTTCGTTCCATTTTCGGTGCAGACATTGCTGTTGAATTGGCTTTTGAATGCACTTTTAAGTTGCCAGCCTGCTCTTTGCAAGGTTCTTGTAGTGAGTAATAGTTCAGGGGTGCCAGTTCTGTCTAAATTAGGACAAATCCATCCCCTCAAATGGCTCCTATTCTTTTTACTCACGACATTACTTTTAATTAAAACTCACTTAACACTGATGTGCTCCATTAGGTTATGGAGAATAATTAGCTTGGTAAGACCAACGAAGAAGAAAATCATTACTTGTTGTTCAACAAACATAAAGAACATGTTTTCACATTTTTTTTATTGTGAGAAAAATCACAAAAGGATGGTTTTGTGTACAAGAAAGTGACTAACAAAATGAAGTTTAACAAGGACAAATGAAAGATACTCCACTTAGGCAGAAAAAAATGAAATGCAGAAATACAGAATGGAAGACGCTTGGCTCGATAGCAGTGTGTATGAAAAAGATCTTTGAGTCCTTGTGGACAGGAAGCTGAACGTGAGCCAACAGTGCAATGTGGCAGTTTTAAAAAGCCAATGGGATTTTGGCCTGCATAAATAGAGAGTATAGTGTCTAGATCCAGGGAAATCATGCCACCCCTCTACTCTGCCTTGGTCAGACCACACCTGGAATCGCACTGCGTCCAGGGAGATGTTCTGGAATGTGTCCAAAGGAAGGCAACTCAAAGGATCCAAAGGTCTGGAGAACAAGCCCTATGAGGAGCAGCTTAAAGAACTGGGAATGTTTAGCTTGCAGAAGAGAAAGCTGAGAGGAGACTTGGTGCCCATGTATCAAGATGTGAGGGGAAATCATAGGGAGGAGGGAACAAGCTTGTTTTCTGCTGCACTGTGGACTAGAACACAGAACAATGGCCTCAAACTACAGGAAAGGAGATTCCACCTGAACATGAGGAGAGCTGTTCAGCAGTGGAACTCTCTGGAGGCTCCTTCTTTGGAAGCTTTTAAGCAAAGGCTGGATGGTCATCTGTCAGGATGCTTTGAATGAGATTTTCCTGTTTCTTGGCAGGGGGCTGGACTGGATGGTCCATGAGGTCTCTTCCAACTGTATGGTGTTTTTGCACAATAGCAGCAGTATAGGACCCCTTACATTAAGGATGTTTGAGCTAAGCATTATGATTGTAAATATATATGTCAGTTATATTAACACAAATTGCTGTGGTACCCTCTGTATTGGGAAAAAAAGGAAGTACAGAGAAAATTAGATGTCGGGGAGAAATACGTCCTCACTGATGTATTACATTTCTCTCTGTAAGAATATCCCACAGCATGGAAGTATTTTGTCCTGAGTACTTCAACATCGAATTTGAAGTGTTATCATCCAGGTCCTGATTTACAACCCCACACTTTTGTTCATGAGGAGCAAGCCTTTCTGATTTGTATCAGGTTCTATTTAACCAAAAATGTGCAGGACCATCAGATATGAGGAAGTTGTTTTATGAACACCCTTCTCTGTTTTCTTCCTCCCTCCCTCCCTCCCTCCCTCTGTTTCCCTTCGTTCAGTGTGTGGACCTGAGCTGTAATGAGCTGACTGAAGTCACGTTACCTGAGAACTTGCCTCCGAAGCTGCAGGAACTAGATCTAACTGGAAACCCCAGACTTGTCCTGGACCACAAAACCCTGGAGCTATTGAAGTAAGGAACTGTCAGTTTTATTACTCTGAAGGGAACACAGAGCACTTAGGAAGCAAACGCACCCAGTGTCTAAACATCAGGTGCATAAGCAGTTCAAAAAGAAAAACACGTGGTGCTTTTTTCTTTATTGCTATACTCCCTACATGACTGGCTGAGTTGGGAGCGGTGAAACATACCTACCTTTACACTTCCAAAGTGTCTGAGTTTCTAACTAAACCTCCTCCCTTCCACTTTCAGAATATACGGGTAAGTTTCCAGTCCCAATTCAAGGTATAGGTTATCACATATAAAGCTCTAAATGGTTTGGGACCTCCCTATCTTCGTGACCTCATCTTCCCCTACGAACCTTTCAATCTCTTAAGATCTTCTGGAGAGGCTCTCCTCTCGCTTCCACCACCGTCTCAGGCGCAGTTGGTGGGGACAAGAGAAAGGGCCTTCTCGGTTGTCGCCCCTCAGCTTTGGAATACCCTCCCCAGGGAGATCAGGCTATCTCCCCCTCTGTCCACTTTCAGCAAAGAGTTAAAGAAATGGATGTTCTGCTGTGCTTTTGAGTAGATAATTCTGTAGATAGCTGGCCCCAGCTAGGGCCCTAGGGCAAACTTCGATCCTCCAGGTGTTTTGGACTTCAACTTCCACAATTCCTTTTTTTCCCCCCAGTTTATTTTAGTTATTTATTTTATTATTTATTTGGACCATTTCTACCCCACCCTTCTCACCCCTCAGGGGGGATTCAGGGCGGGTAACACAGGCAATAATTCAGTGCCAACAGTATCAAAACAACAATACAAAACAGCAATATAAAATCCATTACATAACAATTAAACAGTGATATTAATTAAAATTACATAATCACATAGAACAAATCACATAATCACAGGTCATAAAGCCATTTCCAATTTTCAAACAATCCTATTGTCTGAGTTCAGTGCCTAAAGTGCTGCTGTGCCCACTAGCCAAAGGCCTGGCTCCAAAACCACATCTTTAGTTTTTTCCTAATAGTAAGGAGGGAGGACGCCGATCTAATCTCGCTGGGGAGCGAATTCCAAAAGTGGGGGGTCACCACCGAGAAGGCCATGTCGCTCGTCCCCACCAGACGCGTTTGAGACACTGGTGGGACTGAGAGCAGGGCCTTCCCAGTAGATCTTAAATTACGAGGTGGAACATAGAGAGAGATACGTTCGGATAAGTAAGCTGGACCGGAGCCATATAGGGTTTTAGAGGCCAAGACCTTCACTTTGAATTGTGCTCGGAGGTGGACCGGCAGCCAGTGGAGCTGACGCAGCAGGGGGGTGGTATACTCCCTGTATGGTGCTCCGGTGAGTAATCTCGCTGCCGCCCGTTGGACTAATGGAAATCTCAGAACAGTCTTCAAAGGCAACCCCACGTAGAGTGCATTGCAGTAATCTATTTGGGATGTAACCAGAGTGTGGACCACCGTGGCCAAGTCAGACTTCCCAAGGTACCGGTGCTACTGGTGCACAAGCTTAGTTATGGTACATAACAGAAAAACAAATCATAACAGATATAGTCAGGTAACAATATTTTTGATGAATTCATGCCTATCTACCTTAGTCAATCAACCAGTTAATTCTGACACTGAGTACATATTATTATCAGTTACTTAACTTAAAACATATAGACTTGCTATTTCTACACATTATCCACTATTTTTAGTCTAAGCTTTCTACTCAATTTTTTCCATAACATTCAGACAACAAACACGACATATTACACACGACAGACCATACACTTACCCAAAACCCCTATCCCACACAAAATAAAACCTCTTCTCCACACCCTTCACCATGACTTCCAACGCTGAAGCACTACGAAGCCTTTAAGCTCATTTATCTATCCTTTTTCATAGTTAACCTAAATTCATAATGGAGCTCTTCTATATTACTGACTCTCTATTCAGATATGTCATGGCCAACTTCCATTTTTTCTTTAAAAAATCCTCGTTACTTTTGTTCCTCCTATTATTGATTAGTTTAGCCATTAGCATATATTCTCACATTCTTTCCCGCCAATCCTTTTTGGTTAAACCTTTTCCCGCTTTCCAGTCTTTGGCTATGGTTAATCTTGCTGCTGCAAAGCTATATTGGTTTATTTCTTGGTCCTTTTGATTATTGTTTTCTCTATGTAAACCTAGCAGAGACACAACCCTGGGCTTTTAAAAATCTTATTATGTAGCATTTTATTTGTCTCCTTAATTACCTTATCCCAAAATGCCTGAATGGTCACACAGGTCCATCACATATGGAGAAATGTCCCTTTCTGTTTCCTGCACCTCCAGCAAATACCTTGTTGTGATTTGTCTATTTTAGCCAATGTTGCAAGGGTGATATAGCACTAATAGTCGATAAGCTCTTAGGAATTGTGGGAGTTGAAGTCCAAAACACCTGGAGGGCCGAAGTTTTCCTATGCTTGTCCTAAGGAACTTTACAGCTTTCTGTACTGTTGAAAAAATTTGTGACTTTCAGTTAGATAGGCACAGGTGCCTCATTGCTTATCACTTTTGACCCTCTGAAATGCAGTCTAACATTGCACCTGATCATGACAAAGTGCTTCTTCGCTGAAATGTATTAATAGTATGCATGACCACATCAAAGATTAGTGCTGCTTTGAGGTTGTTTTTAATTCTTGCACAATAATCCCTGTGTCACAACCAGATAGCTCTGAAGTTTTCTTCCTGCTTCACCTCCTGCAGTGAACCCTTTGAACCTGGGAATTGAACATTGGCCTTGCGTGGCTCTTGCAACCTGCAGTGAAACTCCCAACAAGTTTACATCTACCCTTATCCCTTTTGTTAAAAGGCGTGCCAGGGAGCACTTTCCTCATTCTGCGTTACCTTTGAGCCACCTTGCGAACTAGTATAAACATGCCTTGTACAGATTACAGTTGCCACAATATTGCTGACTAAAACAGAGCCTTCCTGCTGGATCATAAAGTTTCAGATCCATCACTTACGTTAAAAAGCCTGCCTGGGCCCTCTGCAGGTCTCCTCCTGTTCCTGCCGTCATTTACCAATGGTTTTCACCATGCCCATACCAGCTACCCACCCATCACTTTTGTCTTGGTAGAGATTTTGGCCCAAGTAACACACTATTCTGGCACTGCGCTCAGGAAATTTTTTTTAAACAATTGTCACTCCCACAATCTTTTGGACATCCTGGCCAGTGGTCATGTTGGTGGGCGAATTCTAGAAGTTGCAGTTGCCAAGAGTAGCTTTGCCAAACTGTGTTCTTCCATGGCATTTTTTCACGTGGTTGTGTGATGTAGTCTAGAACCCAAGTCATGCCTTGGGAAGCTGACTTGGTTTTCAAGAGTTGCCTCCTCTTACATTCAGGGAAGCAAAATGTTATAGGCTGCGGCTTGAGAAGGACCCAACCCAGCTTCTCCTCCTGATACCAGGAGCACCAGGGCTTCCTTCCTAGTGGTGTTTCTTTCTTAATTCATTGACTTCTAATCTGTGGCCCACTTACTGGAGTACATACATAGGGATGGTGTTGTGATGCGTTACAAAAGTTATTCAGCAGCCCTAGCAGTAGGTGACTTAAGACACCAAAGAATACGGGACAAAGCCTATTTAAATTAGCAGCTATTGCTAATTGTTTTTGTGGAATGTATTATTTAAGTGGGGTTGTTGTAATTTCTGTAAGTGCTATTTATGTTCATTGACACTGTAATTGTTATTATTATGGATATTGATGTAATTATGTGTTATGGCACTATTCGTGCTGTTTTGTAAGCTGCCCCAAGTCCCTTTTTGGGAGATGGTAGCGGGATATGAATAAAGTTTTATTATTATTTATTATAAAGCAATAAGATAATGAGGGTTTTAAAAGAAAGAGTAGTATACCCTTTCTTTGTACTCCTGCCAACTCCAGAACTCTTTGGTCGTCTTTTGTTATTCTGTATATATAACGGTCAGGTATGTATGTATGTTTGTACCACAAAAGATAGATGAAGCCGCCTTCTGTGATGTCATTGGATAGGCTGTTACTAGGTGAAGTGGCCCTCTGTGGTGTCACTGGGAAAGAAAGGTGACATGTGTATGATGGAAAGGGAGGAAGGAAGGGGTTCGAAAGAGAGTTGCCAGAGTGTTGCAGTGGAGACATTGTGAAGTTGGCTTTCTCAGAGCTGGAGAAGAGAGAAAGCAGGGGGACAGTTGTTCCAACAACACTCGTGCCATGACAAGTTTATAACCTAGTTTTTGATAAAAATTAGGTTGTGGAGGTGTTTGAGATGGATGGTTTTCTGTACTTTTCTCAAGGATGGTTTCAAGAAGAACATTTGTGTAGAATTCAGTCTTTCCCAAATGTAAGCCCTAAAGTGTTACTAGGGGTCTCCCATCATCATCATCATCCCCTGGTGGTGCAGTGGGTTAAACCCCTGTGCTGGAAGGACTGAAGACTGACAGGTTGCAGGTTCGAATCCGGGGAGAGGGCAGATGAGCTCCCTCTATCAGCTCCAGCTCCTCATACGGGGACATGAGAGAATCCTCCCACAAGGATGGTAAAACATCAAAACATCCGGGCGTCCCCTGGACAACATCCTTGCAGACCGCCAATTCTCTCACACCAGAAGCGACTTGCAGTTTCTCAAGTCACTCCTGCCACGACAAAAAAAATAAAATCTCCATCCAAGTGGTCAGGAATGATACAAATACGTTTTTCATTTCAATGTTTTACATGCAAAGCAAAATGACTGTTAGGCTCTTGGTTAGCTACCATAACACTGTAAGATTGCAACAAGAAGGAATAAGGAAATTTGAAAAGACGGAAAAAAAGTAGTGAGGGGTGATAGTTGCAGTCTGACCACATCTAAAGATCAAACATTGGAAAAGACTGGTTGATCAATAGGCCACCATTTCCTCTATCTATCGATTGATCGATTGAGCTATGCATGGATATTTGTACCCATCATGTTCTTTTAAAGGCGTTTAGCTAATCCTGTGAATTGCCAACGTGCCAGAGCTTAAAGGCAGTTGCTTGGATCTTTGCATGCCCTGGCGGTCTGTCAAAATGGGGCAGTTCCTTTTGAAAGCCACGCTCTGTTTCCTATTCTTCCGAGCGCCTGAACATCCAGACCAAAGGGTAAAGGCTTCTTGGGTAATAATAGTTTATTGGAAAGCACAGAAACAGTGGGGAGTGAGTTGCAATAAAAGCTTGGAGACTTAAAAAAATTACAGTTCCCAAGATCCCCAACCTGGAGGGCTCATTGTGTTGACTGGAGGAATTCTGGGTGCAAGAGTCCAAGCCCTAGTTACAGTATAATGAGGACAGTTTGTCGTTCCTAGGTGACCGGAAAGTGTGGGATTTTATAATAGAGTGAGGAACCAGGCTGTGGAGGGGATTTGGGAGTTTATTGGAAGGAGTGTTGCTAGTGTTTTGTTATTTAAAATGTTAAACATGCAAACATCAGTGTGCTCAAATTAAAGTCTCTCCTGCCTTTTCTTAAAATATTTTCCACTTGGTCTAATGCTTCACTGCCATTTGAAATAGTCATATCCTATGTGATGGGCACAAGGCTTTGAGATACCACATTTGTGACGCTCTCTCTGTAAAATAGCAGCAGGCAGCCTGTTTAAAATTAAAAGTTTTTTCATTAATCATCCATTTGGCATTTGAAATTTCTCTTTGTCTCAACTGTTCTGTGGCTGCCCTTTTTAGCACTGGTTTTATTGATTGATTTCTGTTTTAGGTGATTTGCTGTATTGATTTCAATTTGCTCAGCTTGGAACGATCACTTAGAGAAAAACAATCTCTTAAATACTATGAAAATAAATTATAGCCTTTTAAAAAATGCTCCTTTGAGCATGCTTCATCTTCATGATTCATCCTGGCTACCGTCCAGAGCATATACGCACCCACATTTCTAAGGGAATTTACTATTTTAGAAAACCGTGACTCCAAAATCTTTAAAATGTTAAAAATGTGCTGGATTGGGGATGGGGATGGGGGATATCTTGCAGTTATGGCAAAAGAATGGTTGGAAAAAAGAAATTTAAAGACAAGAGAGAAGCGATCCCTAGCCTCAGTGTGTTTTGTCTTGATGACACATCTACACTAACCATTTAATGCAGTTTGAAAGCATAGTGGCTATACAATGCATGCAGCGAATGCGCACTTTGGACTTTAAACCTTGATAAGCAGTCAGGGAAAAATCCAAAATAAACTTAATGCTCTTAATCACCATTTGAACTCAGAACCAGTTCCAGTACTTGCAGTCTAATCAGCCACATAGTGGAACCACTTCCTTCTAGAGTTGGACCCAAATCACTGTTAACGAAAATTTATTTGTTTACAACATTTCTATCCCGCCCTTCTCAACTCCCCGAGGGGGAACTCAGAGATTTGTAGTTTTCGAAGGGCCGTTTTTGTGTAATTTCCAAAAACAGAAAGGGGAAGAGAGAGACACGAAAAGAACAGTGAAACGAATTCAGAGAGATTATATTTTCAGAAAGAGTTAAGTCCACAAAATGCTCGAGGCAGAGGGAACTGTGGCATCCTTTTCTCTCCCTGGAAGAAGAAGCCTCCTCCATTTTTTCTTGGAAAGTTCCTTCCTCCTTCAAAGAGGACCCTTAGATCTCACTAGCATAGGGTGGCCATTGAAACTTCCTCTTGGAGTGTTTCTCTCTGTGTGTCTCTCAGTCAATAAAAAGACCTGGTGGTGCCCATGGTCTGATTGGCTGAGAATGGACACAACTGGTGACCACAGTTCCCAGAACCCTCTCTTGTGGTTTGTCTTATTTTAAAAAGTGTTATGTTTAAAACTTAAAATAATTCTTAAAAAATCAGATTGATTAATTGTTTTCAAACTTGGCAGACCTGTAGTTGTAAATGGGGTCTACAACTGAGATAGGTTTCATGCAGATAGGCCATAAAATGGTTGAGGATTGAGCCTTTAAAGTTTCCCAATGGGCTGAATCTGCTGAATGAAACTGAAAACACCCTTCCCCTTTCGAGTAACTTTCTGGTAAACGGAATGAGGGGTCAGACGAAAATGTACCCGAAAACGGTATGCCTTTTGGCCTGAATACACATGACTACTTCCTTCTATGTTGGTTTCACATCAGATTAAAGGATTGGTGTAGATCAGGGGTCCTCAAACTTTTTAAACAGAGGGCCAGGACACTGTCCCTCAAACTGTTGGAGAGCCGGATTATAATTTGAAAAAAAAAAACATGAATGAATACCTATGCACACTGCACATATCTTATTTGTAGTGCAAAAAACACTTAAAACAATACAATAATTAAAATGAAGAACAATTTTAACAAATATAAACTTATTAGTATTTCAGTGGGAAGTGTGGGCCTGCTTTTGGCTGATGAGATAGGATTGTTGTTGTCGTGTGCTTTTCAAGTCGTTTTAGACTTAGGTTGACCCTGAGTGAGGGCCAGGTAAATGACCTTGGAGGGCCGTATCCGGCCCCCGGACTGTAGTTTGAGATGTTGTAGATGCTCCCTGGTGTAGATGTTCCCTGTGGGATGGTTGTTTCAGGATCTGTGTGAGCAAGGAAAAGGTTAAAAGCTGCTGTCAGCTGAACATCAAGGATTTCTGTATAATTTTTTTAAAGCTAGTGAAGTAGTGGCGAAATGATCAAGCTACTGCAGAAAGCATCTCTCTCGGTGTGTCATTTACCTCTCTGTTTTCCTTTTCATCTCTTTGTTTTTCATCGAGGCAACTAACTGAATATTGTGTTTTAAAACAAGGATTTTTTTTTGCAAAAGCAAATAAGATTTTTTCCCTCTGGTTATGGGCGCACATGCTAAATATAATCCACTGAAATAATTTTTGAGTACAGCAAGTAGGATCACATAAGCTCAGCACTTTAAAATGTTTTGAGGTGCTTTATATGTCCCGTGAAGCATTAATTTGTCTTGGGTTTTATTTGTCATTTTAGCAACATTCGTTGTTTCAAGATTGACCAACCTTCGGCTGGTGACGCATCTGGAGCCCCAGCAGTATGGAGCCACGGCTATACCGAAGCATCAGGAGTTAAGAACAAGTAAGCCCTTCATATGGGAAGGAAGATTATGGCAACTTCATGTTGCCAACCTTAGCAATATTATAAAATATTTCAGGGTTGTGTGTGTGTGGGGGGGGGGGGGGGGGGGGGGGGGGTACTTTTCCTCGAGATAGATTAACCATGCAATCAGACTAGAATCATGTGCAGATTTGGGCTCAGGCTGTTGTATTCTGTGCTTGTGGTTATGTTGCTTCTGTTGGACACCTTTCAACTTCAGATGGACACCATACATATAGCTCCCTAGTTCGTTTCTAGGTGCAATTCAGAGTGCTGTTCATGCCCTATAAAATCCTATATGATTTAGGGCCAACCTTTCTGGAAAAGCAGAACTATACAAATTGACCAAAGTCTTAAAATCCATGGAGGAGGACAATATTTCCCAGTCAAATTATGGGTTACAAAAGAAATCATGTTAGTTAACCTGTTTCCTTGGTGGGATCATCTTATTGGGGATAAGGTATTTTCTATGCATTCATGTACATAACTTTTTCAAATGAATGCCTATCTTGGTAAAAAAAAAAATACGGTACTGATTTTGGCAACAGCGTGATAGAAAGAGTCAACTCATCTCCATCTTCTCCCTTCCCTTCTTGCACCTAATTAAAGGCACAACACCTTCCTTGAGCCATTGAGTTGTCAGAGTAGTTAAATAAATGACAAAATGAGTGGAGGACTGACTATATAGATATAGATACACACACACACATACACATATACATATCCACTTACACAGACAGTCTCCCGCCTCCACAAACAGGATATAGTTCCAAGTGCTGAGAAGCCTCCAAAGGCACTCCCTCAACTGACATTGCAGATTATATCGAGCACCATGAACATGTAGCCCAAATGCTACCAATCCCCTCCCCCCATACTACTGCCCACTATCCAAGGAATGCATTCATTCGGGGATAATTTCATCCTAGATTTAATTTGTTTCCTCCACCTCAGACAGGCACCCCAGGGTTCCTTGGGTGGAATTTGCATAACCCCGCCCACTGCCTCACCCTTAACCCTTTCCTACCTTTTCCTATGGCACGCAGCAAACACAAAGGAATTGATCAGCAACTGAACAGACTAGAGGGGTTTAGGAGACTGGCTCAACAGGGTGGAAGTTGTAGTTCACCCTGCATCAAGGCAGAGCACTCTGACCCCCTTCCATAATGGACCTGGACCACATTTGGAATGCAGAACATCCATGACCAGGTTTGAGGGGAATTGTCCTTGATTTATAGGAGTTGTAGTTCACAACATCCAGAGAGCACTGTGAACCCAATCAATGATGGATCTGGACAAACCTTGGCACACAGATCCAATTGTGAATCATGGCAGGGTTTGGGGCTAATTGCCCTGGGAATCTGGGAGTTGTAATTCACCCTTATCCAGAGAACACTGAAGCCAGTCGACGATAGATCTGGGCCAAACTTGACACACAGAACCAACATGGCCAATGGTGAATACTGGTTGGGTTTGGGGCTGATTGCTTGGGAATCTGGGAGTTGTAGTTCACCCTTATCCAGAGAGCACTGAACCCAGCCAATATCAGATCTGGACCAAACTTGGCAACAGACCCAACATGGCCAACTTTGAATAATGGCATGGTTTTGGGAAGGATTGACCCCCGATTCTGAGAAGTGTAGTTCACCTACATCCTTGTGCATTTTCTAATGGGAGCATTCATAAAAAACTAAAAGAAACACTGGCTTTTTCTAATAAGTGGCATTATATATTACCAAACTTCAAAAAACAAACAATGCCTTTCTCAAATAACCCAGTTACCCCAAACTAATATATATATCTCCACTCAACAATAAAAGACATAAAACAAAAATACACAAACAAATAGACACTAATCACTTTCCTGAACGCCTCTAATAGTTAACTAAAATAACCCTAAAACACAATTAAATAATAAATTTGATAAAATGAGATTAAATTACAAAATGAAAGCAGGGGGAAGTAGAGTGATGAGTGTAAAAGAATCAGTCGGAGAATGAGTGAATGTGTGTGTGTGTGTGTGTGTGGTGTGTGTGTGTGTGTGTGTGAATCCACTGTAAAACTAAATCCTAATTAAGTATTAAAACATTAAACAAAATGCTCTTCTGTCTATAGTCTATTTCATTAGTACACATATAAAAGATCATTTTCCACACTAAGTAGTTATGCTACAGAAAGTTAATAAAAGTTTCCCTCCTAATATCTATCCATTTGCAATACAGTATTTAATATTAATTGCTTTTATTTAAGGAAAAAAATCTTTGCCCATTCACCCAAACTCTTGTAATACTAAAATTTGATGTTTAAGCCTTGGAATTTACAATTTAACACATCCTTATTGATTATTCTGGCACCATTATATTAATGCCTTTTCTGTTACTAAAAGTAGTTGTCTCCATTATACAGCTATAATGTAGCCTCAACATAAAAAAGTTCATATGCTTTATTAAATCAAAAGTTCTTTTCTCCTTTCAATGTTAACCTTAAAGTAAAAGTAAAGTATATTTAATCATCATTTGTAAGACTCTGGTGAACAAAGAGACTAATCCTATTTCAGAATCATTTAGTTAAATAATAATAATAATAATAATAATAATAATAATAATAATAATAATAATAGATTTATAACTCACCCTGTCTCCCTGAGGAGGCAAAATAAACACAGTGGCAAATTTTCAATGCCAAAAACAACAAATAACAAATCAACCCAGTGGGTGACAATAGTCTCGATAAAAATTATGAAAAGGGCAACTTAAATGGACATAACTAAAATTAGACTAACAATATTAGAGCTAAGATTTATACAATTTCTAACAGGTGAAGGTAGGTGTCCAGCAACTGGGCAAGGGCATATATAAAGGTATATTTCTCTCCCTCCTCTCCGTAAGATAAACTGCATAGATGGGTTTCTAAAAGCTTTTTGAAGGAGAGGGAAGAGGGGACAATTTGTAGTTCTTTAGGGAGATGGTTCCAGAGGTGGGGAGCGATCACAATTAATTATTACATGTAATATAAATATTGTATATTCTGGCGTATAAGACTACTTTTTAACCCAAGAAAATCTTCTCAAAAGTCAGGGGTCGTCTTATATGCGGGAGGTCTTATACATGGGAGTTGTCTTATACGCTGGAGTAGCCTTGTGTATGGGAAGTCGTCTTATATGCAGAAGTAGTCTTATACACCGGGAGTCGTCTTATAGAGCGGGTGCTGAAACTTCCAAACGGATTGGAGAATCTGTGGTTGCTGCATATTGTGGGGGGAGCTCAAAAATGGCAGTGGCCGCGTCCCTGCCATATGCAGTGACTGTATGAAAGCATTAAGGGTGATGCTGTACAAGTACGGTAGAAGAAAATCCATTCATCAGGATTCATGGACTTAATGCGGTCCCAATGGTGAGGTGAAGGGGCGCCTCACCGGAAAGGTGTAAGTGAAGGGCGGATCAAGCTGCAGGCGTCGGGGCGCCTGGGGTATGGAAAAAAGAGGTAGAGTGGCTCTGGGCCCAGGAAAACACAATTCCTTTACCTGTCTGGCGTGCCCTTGTATCCTATTACCGTACCTCCTCCTCTGCCTCTCAGATCTTGCTCCTGAAGTGGTGCAGGTGCGCATGTGAAAGATCTGAGAGGCAGAGAAGGAGGTACAGTAATAGCAAAATTACCACATTGAAATCAAATCTGATGCTTTTTAATTTTTTATTTGGTGTGTGTTGGAAGAGGGGTAGTCTTATACGACGAGTATATCCCAAACTCTATATTTTAACTGGAAAAGTTGGGGGTCGTCTTATACGCCCAGTCGTCTTATATGCCGGAATATACGGTATATATAATTATAATATCATATTATACAATATATTATGTTACATTATATTAGCATAGCACAGGAGAAAGGCGGAACTGTCCCCTGGCCCCCCTCCCCCTGCCTCTCTTCACTCTGGACCAGAGCAGCAGTTGGTCTGTTGTATGTTTACAAGCTAATTTAGGATTTACTGTTTGATTGATAGTTGAAACAGGTCCATTTTTGTAACCGCATCTCTGCCGTGGAACACTTTTTGATGCTGTTCTTAGTCATCAATTTTAATTTTAATTCCATTGTGCGCAAACCCATTGAAATAGTGCTGTTGGATATAGTTTCCTTTCTTCTGTATGTTGAATGTCTGTTAGGTCTTTATATTTATTGTACACTAGCTGTCCCCTGCCACACGTTGCTGTGGCCCAGTCTGGTGATCTGGAGAATAAAGTAATGAGAAAGTGTTGGTTTCTAATATATGTAATTCCTTTATGCTTGTGGGTAAACAGTATTTCTTGTTGTTTCTTTGTCAGTGTTGATGTGGAGAGTGTCTGGTTTGCCTACTCTGGAATATGCAACATATCATAGTCCTTCTTTAAGGGTCTCTTTCAAATCTATGATACTATATCTGTGTGTGTGAGAGAGAATCATATCTATCTATCTATATTTATGACTGGATGGCTCTTTGTCTGGAGGTCTCTGATTACATTTTCTTGCCCTGGTGAAGAGAGTTGGACTGGATGGCCTTAAGTATTTTCTGTTGGTCATGGGGGTTCTGTGTGGAAAATTTGCCCCAATTCTGTCGTTGAGGTTCAGAATGCTCTTTGATTGTAGGTGAACTATAAATCCCAGTAACTACAACCCAAATGTCAAGGTCTATTTTCTACAAACTCCATCTGTGTTCATATTTGGGCATATTGAATATTCGTGCCAAGTTTGGTCCAGATCCATCATTGTTTGAGTCCACAGTGCTCTCTGGATGTAGGTGAACTACAACTCCCAAACTCAAGGTCAATGCCCACCAAACCCTTCCAGTGTGTTCTGTTGGTCATGGATGTCCTGTATGCCATGTTTGGTTGAATTCATCATTGGTGGAGTTCAGAATGCTCTTTGATTGTAGGTGAACTATAAATCCCAGCAACTACAACTCCCAAATGTCAAGGTCTATTTCCCTTAAACACCATCTGTGTTCATATTTGGGCATATGGAATATTCGTGCCAAGTTTGGTCCAGATCCATCATTGTTTGAGTCCACAGTGCTCTCTGGATGTGGGTGAACTACAATTCCCAAACTCAAGGTCAATGTCCACCAAACCCTTCCAGTTTTTTCTGTTGGTCATGGGAGCCCTGTGTGCTAAGTTTGGCCCAATTCCATCATTGGTGGAGTTCAGAATGCTCTTTGATTGTAGGTAAACTATAAATCCCAGCAACAACAATTCCCAAATGACAAAATCAATTTTTTTTGAGTGGAGGACATACATTGGGTTGTTAGGTGTCTTGTGTCCAAATTTGGTGTCAATTCCCCCAGTGGTTTTTGAGTTCTGATGGTATCACAAACGAACATTACATTTTTATTTATATAGATTGACTGGGAAGTCTGTTAGTTAGAAATTGTGATTTGCTAAATTAGTAAAATGTGAACGGAGGAGATGTGGTTGCAAGTGGGGTGTAATCAGTTGTATCTGTTTATGAAAAAAGATGAAAGCAGGGCTTGACATCTCAAGGAAATACATATTCCAAGACGCTAATTCATCTATTATTCCCCCCCCCCCCCCAGTGGCTGAATAATTTCTATTAAAAATTTACCCACTGTTTCATGATGATGTTTTCTGAAATCCACATCAACCACCAACTGAATTGTCCTCTGTTGATCTTTTAAAGACACACACACTCACTCATGCTTGTCACTATTGAATAGACCAGCAATGCCCCAGTAATAATCACACTGAATAACACTGACAGCTCTTGTAGAGGTCTAGAGGGTAAATGCAATTTAAGCTACAATGTCCTCTTTTCCATATCTCCTGTTCATTGCGGCATACTCAATAAGCAAATGAATGAAGGGGCAAAACATAACTGGGCTGACATTAGGAGTGTAATTGCATTCAATTGAAGCACAGCCAGGATGAACTTCTACTCTTGCCTTCTGAATTGTAGGTGTTTTGTAATTAAACCAGATGTTAGCGCACTAACGGATATTTTGTGTCCTCCTCGTTTAACACCTGAACCCCAATGCATTCCATGTAATCCAAAAAGGGGAAATTACCACTCAGCCTCTAGAACTGACTTTCCCCCAAGGTTCGGTGTGGCAGCTGTATAATTAGGTAGGATGGGAATTATGGTTTATGAAGTTGGAGAGAAAATAAGCGTAGATGCCATTTGATTTTGATATCTCTGGCACCAAATTAACTTGGACTTACCTTACCTGGAGAGGCCCTGCTCTCGGTCCCACCGGCCTCACAAGTGCGTCTGGTGGGGACGAGGGACAGGGCCTTCTCGGTGGTGGCCCCGCGACTCTGGAACTTTCTCCCACCGGAGGTCAGAACCGCCCCTTCTATCCTGACATTTAGGAAACAGGTGAAGACGTGGTTATGGAGACAGGCTTTCGATGAATGAGACAACACCCTAAGATTTGGATGGAAGATGATGTATAATCGATTTTAGTATGATGACTGACCACTGTAGTTTTAGATATATTTGTTGTTTTAATATGCTTTTGTAATATGAACTATGATGTTTTACCAATTGTATGTGTTTTTATGGTTGGAAACCGGTCTCAGTCCCTCAAAGAGGTGAGAAGGTCGGTATATAAAACTTTGAAATAAATAAATAATAAATAAATAAATAAATTGTGTTCTCACCCAATGGAATGTATCGATCGCTACCTATTTTCTGAAAAACTGTAAAAAAAATCCTCCATCTCAGTTTCGGTTTATGCAATTCTTTGAGCCCCAGTGTATTTATATACTTCACAATTTTTGTGCATGATCCAGAAAATGTGGAGAGCAGTGGGGATGAAGCTTGGATACAATAGGATTAGAGAGGTCCTTATGGAAAATTGCAATGCAAAGAACTGTTGTTTTTTTCCTTGCAGGCTCTGCGTGGCAGCTCTTTCTGCAAACAATTTCTGTGAAAACAGGGAAGCCCTTTATGGAGTGTTTGATGGGGACCGCAACGTGGAAGTACCTTACCTTCTACAATGTACTATGAGTGACATCTTAGCTGAGGAGCTGCAGAAAACCAAGAGCGAAGAGGAATACATGATCAACACTTTCATTGTCATGCAGAGGTTAGTGGTGTGTCTATTTTTAAAATCATGTACTGCATGTATACATCACTTCGTAAGTGTCTGTCTTATGACCCTGGACTTGCCCCATCAATTCTGTTTCAGTCCGTTTGTTTTCTTTCTTCTAGTTGCTATTTTTTCTTTATAGTCTCTGTAAAAGCACGCATTTGGAGTTAGTCTTATTCCTCTTGAGGGCTAATTTGAGAGGTGGCAATCTCTACAATGTCAGCAATCTCTTCTCTGTGGTGACAGTACCGTTAGTTTCTGCTAGTCTTTAGGTTGTGAACTGGTCTATATAAACATGGCAGTGTTAGACATTGCTGGGGTCCAGTTATTGCAGAAATATGAGTGACATGTGAATTAGAACCTGCTTACATTGCGTAACACTTGTAAACATATGAATATGCTTACATTATTATTATTATTATTATTATTATTATTATTATTATTATTATTATTATTATTGGGTTGTTGTAGATTTTTCCGGGCTATATGGCCATGTTCTAGAGGCATTTTCTCCTGACGTTTTGCCTGCATTTATGGCAAGCATCCTCAGAGGTAGTGAGGTCTGTTGGAAGTAGGAAAATGGGTTTATATATCTGTGAAATGACCAGGGTGGGACAAAGGGCTTTTGTCTGCTGCAGAATCAAGGAACATGAAAGGCACTGCAGACTACTTCAACCAAAGAAGTCAGCCATAGCAGAGCACCTGATGAACCAACCTGGACACAGCATATTATTTGAGAACACAGAAATGCTGGACCACTCTCACAACCACCATGTCAGACTACACAGAGAAGCCATTGAAATCCACAAGCATGTGGACAATTTCAAAAGAAAGGAAGAAACCATGAAAATGAACAAAATCTGGCTACCAGTATTAAAAAACTCAAAAATTACAACAGCAAAACAACAGAGAGTAAACAATCAGGCACATCAAATCACTCTCAACAAAAGATTCCCCCAGGCACTTCCAAGCCATTAAATGCTAATCAAGGTGGTCAGTTGAAACATTCACACCTAGCTCCAGCAGACAAAAGTCCTTTGTCCCACCCTGGTCATTCCACAGATATATAAACCCATTTTCCTACTTCCAACAGACCTCACTACCTCTGAGGATGCAGGCGAAATGTCAGGAGAAAATGCCTCTAGAACATGGCCATATAGCCCGGAAAAACCTACAACAACCCAGTGATTCCGGCCATGAAAGCCTTCGACAATACATTATTGTTATTATTATTATTAAGGTAGTCCCGTGATCGGCACACTGGGTGCAGTGCCTAAAGACCTTGGCCTGCACTTAACACAATCGGCGCTGACAAAATTACCATCTGCCAGCTGCAGAAGGCCACCTTACTGGGATCTACACGCATTATTTGCTGATACATTACACAGTCGTAGACACTTGGGAAGTGTCCGACGTGTGATCCAATACAACAGCCAGCAGAGTGATCTTGTCTGCTGTGGACTCATCTTGTTGTGTTTATAATAATAATAATAATAATAATAATAATAATAATAATAATAATAATAATAATAATAATAATTGGAGTTCTAGTTCAAAAGGTACTAGAGACAAAGCTGAAGTACTTTGGCCACATCATGAGGAGACAGGAAAGCCTAGAGAAGACAATTATGCTGGGGAAAGTGGAAGGTAAAAGGAAGAGGGGCCAACCAAGGGCAAGATGGATGGATGGCATCCTTGAAGTGACTGGACTGACCTTGAAGGAGCTGGGGGTGGTGACGGCCGACAGGGAGCTCTGGCGTGGGCTGGTCCATGAGGTCACAAAGAGTCAGAAGCAACTGAACGAATAAACAACAACAAAGTTCAAAAGGCTCTGTTCTTTCTCCCACCCTGGACCTTCCACAGATATATAAATTCCATTTTCTAGTTTCCAACAAACCTCAACACCTCTGAGTTGGTTTCCTACTTTAGATAGTTCAAACACTAAATGAACCTTTTCGCATTCTCTGCTGGGGAAGCCTCGAAAAGTGTACCTCTCCATAGCTCCAGTAGTAGCACTGCCCTGTAGTTCATATTCCAGGAAAGATCAACAAATGTCTCCCAAGAAGACTTGGTTGGTGTTGCTCAATCTTGCAGAAGTGAACTTGAAGGCAACCCTGGAGTATTCCAGACTAGTTCCAGACCAGGGTGGCTTCACTTGACTTAGGGTAGTGTTCAAATGCAGCATCTTTCCATAAATCGGAGGAGGGGGACAATACAACCATTCTAGCCTTGTTTTAGACATCTAGGATTACTATTTTCATCACCCTTTATTATGAGGATTGTTTATCTGGCAGTCATATGCTGGCAGGTGTACCAGTTTGAGGAAGGCTGCAAGGCCATGTGCTTTCTTTAATTCTCAGTGACCATAACTGAGCCACCAGAGAGAAGCTGGAAACAATTTTGCCAGTAATAATCATAATTTTACTGCTGCCTTTCCCTTGCACCTCCTGTTGTAGATCAAAATCACTTGACACCCATGTGTACACACTCAAATGCTATTTGTCACAGCCTACTTTCTCTATAAATTTTCCACAGTCTAATCTGAAGGGCTTTTAGAACATTACAAAGATAAATGTCATATACATGTTCCTATTTCTCCCTCACCAAAAAAAATCTTCAGAAAGAATGAAAAATGGCCTTTCTATATATAGCCATATCGTGTATGAGTAACTTTATTGACAATTGCCTAACTGCATTGCAGCTCATCGCGCTATTATCCCAGACTGAATCGTTGAAGACAAATTGTTTAAATTTACGGCCTGAAGAGGCTTTGGGAGGAAAGAAAAGAAAAAAAAAGGAAGAATAAATTCATGCACTTGTTTATTTAGGTTTGAAAAACACAAGGTGGCTTGGAAAGAAGGTATTATAAAGAATGAGTAGAAATTAAAAAAGAGTCCCCGGTGGTGCAGTGGGTTAAAGTGCTGAGCAGCTGAACTTGTTGATCAAAAGGTTGCAGGTTCGAATCTAGGAGTGGCATGAGCTCTCATTGTTAGCCCCAGCTCCCAACCTAGCAGTTTGAAAACATGCAAATATGAGTAGATCAATAGGTACCGCTTCGGCGGGAAGGTAACGGCGCTCCATGCAGTCATGCCATCCACATGACCCTGGAGGTGTCTACGGACAATGCCGGCTCTTCAGCTTAGCAATGGAGTTGAGCACCAACCCCTAGAGTTGGACACAACTGGACTTAATGTCAGGGGGAAACCTTTACCTTTACGAGAAATTAAAAGGATGTTAATAATGTACGTTTATGCTAGTTCACAAATGCCGATCCAAGGATTCATTCTGTTCCCTTCCTCTCTCCTTATAGAAGGGTTTTTCCTCTTTAGTTACTGTGAAAAGGGATACACAGAACTAGAACTATTTCCGAGCAGCACCGGAATGAAATACCCTCTCAGGATCCCCACCCCACACCAAAGTGAAAAGCGTGAGGCATTTTCTCCGGCTTCTTAATGTCATAGAGCTGCAGAAAGATTTGGGTTGCGTCCAGTTTTTCAGATAGCTTGGATGAGAAGCATTTCTAAATTTGCTTTCCGTAGAAAATGTGTGTATGCTGCATCCGAATGTTCATTCGAATTGTCTATTCTGCTCCACAGTCACACAACGTGTGGGATTCTTTTAGGTACTGCCATTTTGCCAAGTTGTCTTTTGACCTGCCCACTCCATATAAATTAAAATCATATAATTAAAACATATCAATTAAAGCAGTTAGTTAAAATAACAGAATTCGAAACATATGCCAGGAGTATATGTCCAATTGTAATCTGTATTGTTCATTACTGCACTGAGATATCAACTGTTGCACTGGGAGTCGCTGTGCAAACACTCGGAGGGAGGGGGCTGGTCTAATTTCCCTGAGAAGAGAGTTCCATAGCCAAGAGGCCACCACCAAGAAGGCCCTGTCTCTTGTCCCCACCAGTCACATCTGCGATGGGTGGGATTGAGAGCAGGGCCCCCTCAGTCAATCTTAATCTGCAAGATGGTTCATAGGAGAAGACACTAATGGGAATTCTGGCTCATTTGACAATTTCGTAAAACACATGGCATACACATCCTCAAATTTAGAACTGCTGAATCTAAAAAATATATGCTTGGGTTTTATTTGTCATGTCAGGGCAACCAGTCAATTGTATTACATTTCTAACAGAACAAAACAAGTGAACTGACAAAGAACAAAATTTGCAAGTTTGGTAGTTGATTAAATGTCCTTTGACCAGTATCTGGCCACTTGGAGTGCTTCTGGTGTTGCCACAAGAAGGTCCTCCATTGTGCATGTGGCAGGGCTCAGGGTGCATTGCAGCAGGTGGTCAGTGGTTTGCTCTTCTCCACACTCGCATGTCATAGATTCCCCTTGGTGGCCCCATTTCTTGGGTTGAACTTGTGTTGTGTGTGGTTTTTGTGCTTCTCTCCCAATGTTGTTCTCTTGAAATTTCAGGAAACTTGGAACTGCTGGGCAGAAGCTTGGAGGCTCTGCTGTCCTTTGCCATATAAAACATGATCCAATCGATCCTGGTGGATGTTTCACCTTAACCTCTGCAAATGTGGGGAAGTGCCAATCTGTTCTCTGCAGGAACGGGAAACCACTGCCTTTATCCCGGTCTTACATGATCAACTGTGAAGAAGAACTAAGGAGGATCAAACAGCATAAGGCCATCATCACAGAGGTAAGAGCCTGAATTGTTTGAGGCATTAGGGATGTGGCAGGGAGTGATGTGCAGATTGTTTTCCTTTCAACATTTGTGAGCCAAACCATATTCCTGGCATTTGTCCCCTTTTCAGAAGATGGCCTAGCGCAAAAACACACACACACAGCTGTCTCTAGATAAAGTGTTTGCTGTCTACCAGTTTGTACTCAGTTTGTATGTGATGATCCCAGTACATTGAATAAATACACTTGCCTAGAGTTACAGAAGGCATACCCTGGATCTCCTACTCACTACTCCTACTCCTAAACAGGGCTGGAAAACTGTAACCCTCCAGATGGTGCAATCACAACAGAGGAATCCCTTCTCAAGATTAAAATAAACCACCTGTTTCATATATATCCAGTTTTTTTTACCAGTTTTTCCAGTCCCTGTACGATTAGACCTATTAAATCAGTAGAAATATGAAATTACAAGGTTATTTATTTATTTATTTACAGTATTTATATTCCGCCCTTCTCACCCCGCAGGGCACTCAGGGCGGATCACAATGCACATATACATGGCAAACATTCATGCCATAGACAGATACACAGAGACTATTTAACATTCCAGGTTCATGAGGGTATGCTTGAATTCCAGCCACCAGGGGAGCTGTTGCTTTACCATCCACTTGTGACACTGATGGAGTACTTCCTCATTCTTTTGCACACTGCTAGAGATTTTTATGGTGTTGTAAATTAGTTAAATTTAGCCTCCCCGCATAAAGCGGTACCTAAATTTCCGACTTAACAGATGCAACTGTCTTTCGGGCTACAAAGGTTGACAGCAAGCTAGACAAATGGTTGGGAGCTTACTCCAACCTGGGCTGGCTTCGAACTCATGACCTTTCGGTCAGTATTGATTTTAATGCAGCTGACTCCCAACCAGCTGCGCCACAGCGCCTTATGCATTTTCCAATGACCCAGTGGGGCTAATCCAGTTCAGACTAACACTTGGATTTTGGCCATTATTGGTGTCATGTAAAGCTTAAGAAATAGGAAGAAGTTACTAAAACTGAGAGATGTGACTCCTCTTACTTCCACCTTCAATGTAGCTTCCTTCTTTATGCTTACTGTTCCAGCAGACACAAACAAATAAGTGAAACAATGTGTTAGAAACACATTGTCTTGCCTGGCTTGGATCATAACCCAACCAGAAACTGGGGATTTGAATATATACCTGGTATTGATTTCACTAAGACTTGGATTTTTTCCCGAGCTTTCCCCTTTGGATGTTAATCCTTCTTCCTTTGGGAAATGTCATACTCAAAGAGGAAGTGTAGCAAGTAATTGGGGCATGTGAAAATATTCTTGCTACAGTGCAGCTGACTGAAAACAAACAAGATTCCACACACAGACTCTTTCTCTCAACTGTGCTTGTTATAGCTTTTCCAAGTGTAGATAAATAGTTTTGGCTTGGTCTGGCTGAGGACAAAAACACTAATCAAATGATCCTCCAGGTGTTTCCATGCAGTGTGTGTTTACATCTGTAGATTTGTTTCAAATGTTAATCCGGAGCAGAATACCAGTGATGACTAGCTGGCTAGTGCTTCGATGTTTTTAGTCTTTTCCTACCCAGACACTGGTGGGTCATGAGGAAGGATAAAGGGTCACCTTCTTCAAAAGCTTCCAACAGACTTGTATTACCTTGGCTGAGACAAGAATCTTTACTCTTTGTGCTCCTTTGTGAGCCTTAACAAGTTGGGATATGCCTTTTATCTCAATTTCAGATGTTGTAGTTTGTCTTGAGTGCTAAAAGACAGAACTAGAACTCCTATTATTATTATTATTATTATTATTATTATTATTATTATTTGAAACACAACAAGATGAGTCCACAGAAGACACTCTGCTGGCTGTTGTATTGAATCACACATCGGACACTTCCCAAGTGTCTAGGACTGTGTGATGTATCGGCGAATAATGCGTGCAGATCCCAGTAAGGTGGCCTTTTGTAGCTGACAGATGGTAATTTTGTCAGCGCCGATTGTGTTTAAGTGCGGGCCAAGGTCTTTAGGCACTGCACCCAGTGTACCAATCACCACTGGGACCACCTTGACTGGCTTGTGCCAGAGTCTTTGCAGTTTGATCTGTAAATCCTCATATCGTGTCAGCTTTTCCAGTTATTTCTCTTCAATCCTGCTGTCACCTGGGATTGCAACATTGAAAATCCATACTTTGTTTTTTAACACGATCGTATTATTATTATTCTTGTCAGTGCCGATTGTGTTTAAGTGCAGGCCAAGGTCTTTAGGCACTGCACCCAGCGTGCCGATCACCACTGGGACCACCTTGACTGGCTTGTGCCAGAGTCTTTGCAGTTTGATCTCTAAATCCTCATATTGTGTCAGCTATTCCAGTTGTTTCTCTTCAATCCTGCTGTCACTTGGGATTGCAACATTGACAATCCATACTTTGTTTTTTAAGACTATCGTATTATTATTATTATTATTATTATTATTATTATTATTATTATTATTGTCAGCACCGATTGTGTTTAAGTGCAGGCCAAGGTCTTTAGTTACTGCACCCAGTGTGTCGATCACCATTATTATTATTATTATTATTATTATTATTGTTATTGTTATTGTTATTGTTATTATTATTCTGACACAAAACACAGTATGTCGCAGCAAATGACCTATATATGCTGGATTTTGTATCACAAAATTTATGATTATGATTATGATTATATTATATTGTTGTTATCATTTATTACCTGCCTCTCCTTACGATTGAGGGCAGGGCACAACCTAGTTAACATACATCCATAAAAGCACATATTAAATCATACACATATTAAAATACATGGAATAAAAAAAACCCACAATAAACATAAAATATGATTTTAAAATTCATAGATAATACTAACTGGGTAAGCCTGCTAGAAGAGATAGGTTTTCAATTGTCTCTTAAATGATGACAGCTGATTTAGCTGTCAGATCTCTTCCAACAAATCATTCCACAGTCTTGGAGGCCGATAAAAAGGTCCTCTTGGTAATAATTGCTAGTTGGGTTGTCTGTCACTGATTGGAGTAGCTGCCTCCCAGAAGACCTCAGTGTCCCCCAACCAGCCTGCCTGTTGGCTGGATAGAGGATTTGTGGAGTTCATCTCCAGAAGCATAACACCTCCAAGCTCTAGAACAGTGGTTTCCAACCTTTGATCCTCTAGGTGTTTTGGACCTTAACTCCTAGAAATCCCACCCATCTTAGCAGCTATTAGGAATTGTGAGAGCTGAAGTCCAAAACACCTGGAGAATCAAAGGCTGGAAACAACTACTCTAGAAGAACACTGTGTTCTTGTGTGGAACGCCTCCTTTTTCGAATGTGCAGATATGAGGATGTAGACTTAAGAAAGATTTGTTGGCTCTTAATCTAGAGATGGGATGGCCTAGAAAAAAACAGAAAATTGTGGGGGTGGGGGGAATGGGAAAAAACAGTCCCCCCCCCATTTCCCCCCCATCTCTACTCCCATCTCCCGGCCCAACATTTACAACTTGTTGTTTTTGACATTTAAGCACTCATAGGCATTCACCATAATAAATCTTCCTTCTTTCTTCCAGGATGGCAAAGTGAATGGTGTGACAGACTCGACAAGGATCTTGGGGTACACCTTTCTTCACCCAAGCGTGATTCCTCGCCCCCACGTCCAGTCCATTACATTGACGCCTCAGGATGAGTTCTTCATTCTGGGCAGCAAAGGCCTGTGGGACAGCCTCTCCATTGAGGAGGCTGTGGAAGCTGTCAGGAATGTGCCTGATGCCCTCGGAGCTGCCAAGAAACTCTGCACACTGGCTCAGAGTTATGGGTGCAACGATAGCCTCAGTGCTGTGGTGGTTCAGCTCAACGTAACTGAGGACAGTTTCTGCTGCTGCGAGCTCAATGGCGTCCCCCCTCCCAGCCCAGGCATCTTTCCCCAGTCTGTCAACGTCGTCATTAAAGATAAGCCTTCTGATGGTTTGGGGATGCCTTCTTCCAGCAGTGGGGTGGCCTCTGAGATTAGCAGTGAGATTTCAACCTCTGAAATGAGCAGCGAAGTCGGGTCCACGGCCTCCGACGAGCCACCTCAGGTGACCATGAACGAGAACAGCCCTGCCTACCCAAGCGAACAACGCTGCATGCTCCACCCAGTCTGCCTCTCCAACTCTTTCCAGAGGCAGCTCTCTAGTGCCACCTTCTCCAGCGCCTTTTCAGACAACGGTCTCGACAGCGACGACGAGGAGCCCATTGAAGGTGTCTTTTCCAACGGCAGCCGGGTAGAAGTAGAGGTAGACATCCACTGTGGCCGAGCAAAGGAGAAACAGCAGCTCCTTACGCAAACACCCACGGAGGCCAGCGACGAAGGCATTGTCATCAACACCAATGAGGACGAGGTGTGTCTCCTTCGGAAGGGTGACCTTTCGGCCACTGGGACCATTGGGCGCCGCCGAGGCAATGGTTCTGTGGCCCCTCAGGAGAGAAGCCACAACCTGATTGAGGTGGCAGCTGATGCACCGCTCAGAAAAACAGGGGGCTACTTTGCGGCCCCAGCACAGCCTGACCCTGATGATCAATTCATCATCCCACCAGAGCTTGAGGAAGAGGTCAAGGAGATCATGAAACAACATCACGAGCAGCAGCAGCAACAACAACAACAGCAGCAGCAACAGCAGCAGCAACAACAACAACAGCAACGGCAATACCAAATGGACCAGCTGCCAGATTATTATGATACGCCACTATGACCAAGCTTCCCAAAACAAAGTGATGAGACACTGAGAACTTGGAGGCTCCTTAGGTTTGTATTACATTAGCGGACTGGGGCAGAAAGGACGCCTTTGTTCTACTTTCTCTTCCAGACCCTTCCCTTCTACTGAGAACTGCAGCTGCTTCATGTTTGTTAGCTGTAATAATCACATTTTTTTTTCTTTTCTAGTGATGCTTCACTGTTAGAAATAAAACTAGTTTAACTTCTCCCCCTTCCTTAACATATCAAATGTAAAAAAAAAAGGCGGAGAAAAAAATTAAAATTCAAAAGGTTTAATATATTGCAGAGAAAACTGATGAGTGATGTTGATGTAATATTTTTTAAAATGGTTCTTTTTGGGGGGTGGGGCATTCTGTTTGGAAAACAGGGCAGTATTGCCAGTGCTAAATGATTAAGTAATATTGTAATACTGTATTTCTTTGAGAGAAAAAAAAAAGGCTTTTTTGGTCTTGAAAATGGATAGACATTTGTAGAATTATGGAGACTAACTCCTAGGAGTTGCTTTTACTCTTTCAGGTGACTTTACGTCACTGAGATTCACTAATTTTCTCTGAGAGAACAGCTGATTGGGAAATTCCTGTAAATAACTCAGTGTTGTATAGTGATGCTTCAGATGTTTTGTAGTCTCGGCAGGAGGACGCAACCTGACAAACTGACACTTTGTCCCCCACCCAACCTGGGTGCTTTCGCATGTCTTATCAGAGCGCCCTCCAGCAACCTGCACCGCAACCAAATCTGGAGGGCAGGGAACTCTTACAAACATGATGCTCTCCTGGCGGGTTAGCTAATTTGAAGTGCGCTGGGCTCCGGTTGACCCATTGTGTCTGTCCCACCATGTCCTGTTGCCATCTGGGTTGGCTGGGCCCAAATCACCACAGGTGTGTGTTTTGCTCACGTGTGAAATTGCCCCCCATGTGATTGACTCTTCAGGCTACGATCCATATAAAATTAGCCAGAACAGCTGGACAGGCTGCCTAGGAATTAGATGGATAGTGGGCCACAAATGCCGGAGTTAACTCCTTTTTCTTTCTTTCCTTCTTCACCATTAACTTTTGCAGGCACATCTTTTGTGTGTTCCTCCCTGCTGCCACAACCAGCATGATTGTATAGAGTTCATTTACTGTAGATCATTTACATACGAAGAGTTATATTAAAGAAGAATGCACAAATGAACATGTCATAATTTTTGTTATAATAAATATAAAAAATTTACAAATATTTGCAGCCTACTGTTATGCTTCTGTATGTGTGCATGCCTGCAGCACTGTTTGTGCTTGATTCTAGAAAAGTAAAGTTAGTTAAGCGATCCCTCGTTGGACGAGTAGGATAGTCTTCCAGGATCAGTATTCTTGTGGATCCATAGGTGGCTGTGGAGCCCTGTTCTTGACCTGCATCTTCTCCCGCAGTGAGGGCATTGGTTTCCAGGTGGAAGGCGGTCTCGGTCGGGGTTGGCTTGACACGCCTTCCTCTTGGCACGTTTCTCTCTTTCACCTTCCATTCGTGCCTCTTCAAATTCTGCAGCACTGCTGGTCACAGTTGACCTCCAGCTGGAGCGCTCAAGAGCCAGTGCTAAGTAAAATTCCTAATTCGTAGTCTTTTTGCTGTTGCTATAGAACTAATCCCAATGTAGGAATAAGGGAGCCATGGCATTATTACAGAGACATTGGGTGAGGAAGATACTGTGTTAATACCAAGACAAGACACTGAAAATTGACATATTCATGGTTGAATCTCCCTTATCTGAAATATTTGGGACCAGAAATTTTTCTGTTCTCAGATTGTTTTGATTTTGGAATACGTGTATTTGTTTATATATAGTGAATGAGGGAAAGGGGGTTAGTTATACATCCAGCCTGTTGAGTTTTTCTCAGGAAGTTGTCACACCATCACAGCTGGAAATTTGAAGGGGATAGCACTCCAGGGCTGGATCTACACTGACGTATAATCCAGTTTCGGAATGCAGATGAATTGAATTGGACTGGATTATGTGGAAGTGTAGATCCAGCCTAAGTCTTCTTGCAGAGTGTTCTCAATAGTGCTGATGTTAATTGGTAGGGAAAGAGGATTAGTTACACATCCAGCCCGTTGAGGTTCTTCTCAAAAAGTAAATGTACAGCTATGTCCATTTTATAAGCCTTAAAATGAAGGTTTATAAAATATTTTTAACACAAAATGACATGAAGAGTCCACTTGGAATTCTTGCATTTACACTTTGAATTGGAAATGTTTGAAATAATAAATTCCATTTGTTTTCAAGGAAGAGCACTTACGTTTATTAAAGGACCATTTTAAAGTATATTTCATAATAGATGACTGACCATAAGGACGATGTATTGATGAAGGCTTTCATGACCAGAATCACTGGGTTGTTGTAGGTTTTTTGGGCTGTATGACCACCTCAGAGGTTGTGAGGTCTCACCTCAGAGGATGCCTGCCATAGATGCAGGCAAAACATCAGGAGAGAATGCTTCTAGAACAGTGGCTCTCAATCTGTGGGTCCCCAGATATTTTGGCCTTCAACTCCCAGAATCTTAACAGCTGGTAAACTGGCTGGGATTTCTGGGAGTTGTAGGCCAAAACACCTGGGGACCCACAGCTTGAGAACCACTGTTCTAGAACATGGTCATACAGTCCAAAAAGCTATAACAACCCATAAGGACAACTTTGATGAGAACTGTAACTATACCAGGTTGTTATAGGTTTTTTTGGGCTGTATGGCCATGTTCTAGAAGCATTCTCTCCTGACGTTTCGCATCTATGGCAGGCATCCTCTGAGGTTATGAGGTCCATAGATGCAGGTGAAACGTCAGGAGAGAATGCTTCTAGGGCATGGTCACACAGTCCAAAAAACCAACAACCCATAAGAACTCTGGGTTCAAAAACCTGACATGCTAAAAAAAATCCATCCGTGTTTCATTTGTTGCTAATGAAGTCATTTCCAGCGTGACAAGATTTATCACTTGCAGTAAGAGAGCCAAATGAGGCTTCCTTGAACGTAGCCTTCTTAGTGCAGAAACTAATAGCATTCCCTTGTGATACCACAAATGAGGAGTTCTGCTGTATTTGGATCTCTGCCACCATTTTCATTGTGTCATTTGGCTGTAAGCTTGCATTTTCGGCTGGGTTCATCGGATAGGCACAACAAGCTTGCATTCCCTTGGGTTTGCTGTGTAGGCACATCAACTGAATAGGCAAACAGGAATTTCGCTGAGTCTCCAAGATTCATCCATCTCTCTGCTGGTTACTTTCTAAGTGTAAGAACTGGAAGTAAATCCATTTCATTGAGTAGATGTGCCTAACATATATGCTGACCGGTCCCCATTAATGCAATGGATGTGTTTAGCTGGAACTAAACGGTTTGGGACCCGCCTACCTTCGTGACCATATCTCGCTCCACGTACCAACCCGGGTCCTTCGTTCCTCAGGGGATTGCCCCTACCAATCTCACAAGCTCATCTTGTGGGCACAAGGGAGAGAGCCTTCTCTTCTGTGGCCCCCCGACTTTGGAACTCTTTACCTGGGGAGATCAGGAAAGCCCCTTCACTGGAAACATTTAAAAAGAACCTCAAAACCTGGCTTTTCCGCTGCGCCTTTGGCGAGTAGGTGCTCAGCATATTTTATACCCCCTCAACGTTTTTGGCTAATGGAGTTTGTGCCCTCCAAATAGGATGTTCTGCCCCACAACTCTGTGTGTTTTATGAGTTCCATTTAAACTTCCTGCTCCTATTTTATCTCATCATAGTCTGTTAATTGTTTTTTATTCGGAATATGTGGCCCGCCCATTGTCATCTCTATTGTGATTGTGTCTATTGGTATTTTATTTATTTTTTATTTTATTATTACTATTATTCTTTTGTTATTATTTTAATGTCATTTAGATAATGTTGTTGTTGTCTGATGTATATGCTTTGATTTTATTGCTGTATTATGTTGTTCGGGCTTGGCCTCATGTAAGCCGCTCCGAGTCCCCATTGGGGAGATGGTGGCGGGGTAGAAACAAAGATTATTATTATTATTATTATTAATAATAATAACTACAGCAGAGTCTCACCTATCCAGGCTGGAAGAACATTGGATAAGCAAAAATGAGGAGGGATTAAGGAAAAGCCTATTAAACATCAAATTACGATATGATTTTACAAATTAAGCACCAAACCATCATATTTTACAACAAATTGACAGAAAAAGCAGTTTAATACATGATAACATTATGTAGTAATTACTGTATTTACAAATTTAGCACCAAAACATCGCAATGTATTGAAACGGCTGTGGATTTGGGCGGGAGGCAGACTGTGTTGGATAATACAGAACTTTGGATGAGCGAAGGTTAGATAAGCGAGACTCCTCTGTAGTAGGGCTGGCATCAGTGGGCCTAGAGACATTTCTAATTGCCCACAGTAACTTCTCACGTATCAGTAGTTGACCCATAAAACCTTTGTAAACAACTAGGAAATGCTTGGATCAAAAGATTTCCCCAGTTTGCTGCTTAAAATTCAGCATCAGTTTGGGGAAGATACAAACTGCACACTTAGTTGTGTTACTCAGTGGGTGATTTTAGTCCAGCCCTCTCCCTACTACTCTACCTCATGGGAAGATGTATGAATACAGAAGAACCTATAATTCTTGGAGGAGATGTGATACTGTAGAATGATGAATGTGGAAATGCACCAGAGTTGTTAGCACAACTTGCGTAATGAAATGATGGGGTGCACCTTGCTCTTCAAGGAAATCAACCACAATCCCTCTGCTGATTTTCATGCAGGCCAGATAAACTGCTTCCCTTACAGAGATGCACTGAATGGCTGGATACACTTTTATCCTACGGCACTGCTAATTCTGCTCAGGGCATTGACCACTGCAAGTCCTATGGCAAAGCAGGCTTTTATAAATAAACAGTTCCAACAGCTCTCTAGCTATTCATGGGCATGGTTTCCATTTCCTGCTGATGTAGAAACTTGGCATGTAATTGGGAAAATTGGCCTCTTTGTGGCAACATTGTGCTTTAATTGTGCAATTTATTGCAAGTTCAGTGCTTTTAGTTACTGGTGGTGTTTTAAATTACACACAGTTAACAAAGCCTCTGTCAAGAAGTTACTTTTTACAGTCACTTTACACCTGTCAAGCATCCCCATCTGCCAATTTCTGAGATTTGATAGCTACATTGGCACTGGGAAAATTGGGAAGAATGGCCAACCTTCCTAATGCTGCGACCCCTTAATACAGTTCCTCATGTTGTGCTGACTCCCAATCATAACATTATTTTAATTGCTACTTCATAACTGTAATTTTGCTACTGTTATGAATCACAATGTAAATATCTTATATGTAGGGTGTATTTTCATTCACTGGACCAAATTTGGCACAAATACTCAATACGTCCAAATTGGAATACTGATAGGGTTGGGGGGGATTGATTTTGTCATTTGGGAGTTGTAGTTGCTGGGATTTATAGTTAACCTATAATCAAAGAGCATTCCCAACTCTACCAACGATGGAATTGAACCAAACTTGGTACACAGAACTCCCATGACCAACAGAAAATACTGGAAGAGTTTGATGGGCATTGATCTTGAGTCTGTAGTTCACCAGAGAGCACTGTGGACTCAAACAATGATGGATCTGGACCAAACCTGGCCTGAATACTCAATGTGCCAAAATGTGAACACTGGTGGGGTTTGGGGAAAACAGACCTTGACATTTGGGAGTTGTAGTTGCTGGGATTTATTGTTCACCTACAATCAAAGAGCATTCCGAACACCACCAATGAGACAATTGGGCCAAACTTCCCACACAGAACCCCCATGACCAACAGAATCCCCATGACCAACAGAAAATACTGTATTTTCTGATGGTCCTTGGTGACCCCTCTGAAACCCCCTCATGACCCCCTCAGGGGTCCCGATCCCCAGGTTAAAAAACACTGGGCTAGAGAAACAGATTTTCATTCAACAAGGCTTTAAAGGTGCAAAGCCATTAAATGCTAATCACATTCACACTTGCCTCAAGCAGACAAGAGTTCTTTCTTCCACAGATATATAAACCTCACTTGCCTAGTTTCCAACAGACCTCACAGCCTCTAAGGATGTCTGCTATAGCTGTGGGCAGAATGTCAGAAGAGAAGGTTTCCGGGACATGGCCACACAGCCCAGAAAACTCACAGCAACCCAGATTTTCCCCTTGTTCTCTTTGTTGAGAGGCAGGGCCCCCTGGTGGTGGAGCAGGTTAAACCACTGACCTGCTGAACTTGACCACAAGGTTGGCGGTTCGAATCCAGGGAGTGGGGTGTGCCACTGTTAGGTCCAGCTTCTGCCAACCTTTGCATGTTTTTGAACCCTCTTAAAAGTGGGGTGGGGTGCTACTGTTTAGCTCTACCAAAATAGCTTTATGGAAGGGGTCACACCATGGTTAAAGCAATATAATTTCCTCTCCTATTTCGTATTTTTATTGGGACTCTAGAACAGGCATGGACAAACTTCGACCTTTCAGGTGCTTGAACTTCAACTTCCACAATCCCTAACAGCCACTAAGCTGGCTGTGATTTCTGGGAGTTGGAAGTCCAACCACCTGGAGGGTCAAAGTTTGCCCATACCTGCTCAAGAACCTCACCATGCATTATGTGAATTGATCCTCTTAGAAGCCCTTGTTCCCTTCCTTTTGTTCCATAGGTCTCATGCTGCATCTTGTTTCAGTAGACCAGCAGTTAGTATCATTCAATGAGCAGAGTAGTAAGATCCCCACACCCATAAGTCAGTCCATATAGCCGGTGGATAGCAGGAGGGCTCTGACAACATTTTTGAGGGCCATCTCTAGCCATGTATAAATATGTGAGAAGAAGTTATAGGGAGGAGGGAACAAGCTTGTTTTCTGGTGACCTGGAGACGGATGTGGAACAATGGCTTCAAACTACAAGAAAGGAGATTCCACCTGAACATTAGGAAGAACTTCATGACTGTGAGAGCTGTTCAGCAGTGGAACTCTCTGCCCCGGAGTGTGGTGGAGGCTCCTTCTTTGGAAGCTTTTAAACAGAAGCTGGATGGCCATCTGTCAGGGGTGCTTTGAATGTGATTTTCCTGCTTCTTGGCAGGGGGTTGGACTGGATGGCCAATGAGGTCTCTTCCAACTCTATGATTCTATAACAGGCATTACAAACCTTCATTCTGAACAGTCAAGTCAATTAAAATCTATACATATATTTTTACACAGAACAAGGAAATGTGTTATTTTTTCTCAATTACTTTCATTTTAAGAAATATTTTTACATCTCCAGCCTGGCTAAGGTGGTTTGCTTTAAAATAGAAATGGAATCATCCAACATACTCCTTAGCTGTGTTCCCCTGAGTATCAGAACAGGCTACACAAGGGTAGCAAAGGTCCCCACGGAACGACTACTTCCTGGACTTTTATAGGCCTTGGGATGCTCACCTTCCCTGTAGGTTCTTTCAAGTTCGTACTGCATCTTGGCCTCCTGCCTCTTCAACTCCCGCACACTCCGAATGGTGAGAGCACAGACCACGGTGCTTGCAAAATACAAGCAAGCAGCCAAGAGGCCAAAGAGAGCCACAGAGGCGTCTCCACCCTGCACACTGCAGTTCATGGAGGTATAGCCCCTTCTCCCATACAGTATCTCCCTCCGTCGGCATACATCCGTCGCGTTGACTTGTATGACTAAGTGAAGGTAGAGTCCAACAGCAGCAATGTACCCGAGGCAGGCAAGGATGTCAAAGACGAACTCTGCGCCCAGCAGTAGGACTGAGAGGCGGTAGATAGGTTTCCCTCCACCGATGAGGAAGAGAAGGGTGAGGCACATCATGGATAGGCTAAAGGCCACCCCTCCATACACGCAAGGAGCTCTCATCTGGCTGTACTGCATATCCAGGTCCCTTACTTCTTGGAGTTCGGTTCCTTCGAATGGACTATAGAGTGAGTCAAGGCTGAAAGAGCCCAAACCAGCCATTGCGGAGAAACCTGAAAGACTTGCTTGGGCTGCTCCTATGCAGACCAGCACTAAAATGTTGAGGATCACTTCCACAAACTGTAAGATACCTGCAGAAAAGAGGAGGGAAAGACAAGGCAAAATGAACATTTGCATGTCTACTCGCTTCTGACTTAGCTGTTTCCCATTTCTGAAAATGCTCTTGGAAATAAATTACTCAAAATAGCATGGCACTGTCATGCAGGAAATGTATCTTGTAGTGTCGGGATTAGGGAAACATGGCCCTCGGGATCCTGTTGGACTGCAGTTCCCATCGCCTTAGCCTGGGGGGATGGGAGGTGCAGTGTAGCATCTTCTGAAGGGCTAGATATTCATTATTTATAATAAATTTATTATTATTTATAATATTTCTACCCCACCCCAAAGGGGACTCAGAGTGGCTTACAGTTTGGCCACTGTAATAGAAATAGAATAGATATTTACAATTGCTGTTGGGGGTGTTTCTGAGATTAACAGAAGAGCAAATACTAATACTAATACTACTGCTAATAATAATAAATTTATTTTGATACCCCACCACCATCTCCCTGAAGGGATTCGGGGCAGCTTACAAGGCACATGCCCAAAACACAGATTGAAACACACATAATCAAATGAAAAATAAATCGACAACAACATTTTAAAAAACATTATAATCACAATACACAATTTAAAATAGTATTATGTCTTTGGCCAGGCTCAATTTTACACTTTGGCCCAATCCATTGCATTAAAAAGTGTTCTTAGCTTAACTGCTTTTAGCTTAAGGTTACAACTGAGTGCTCTCTTGTTTTGGGTTTTTTTAATGGCCACACAGAAAAAGTTGACCGCTATTGAAGTTTTCCTCTCCCTGGCTTTGCCATGCTCACCAACAGTGAGCAGAATGCTTCAATGTAAGCAGACCACTAAAAGGATCTCTGAATATATGTTATGTCCTCCTCTGTAAATCATTCAATCAATAAAAGATGGTTGCTCAATGCAACCTCCAAGCTTAGACAGCATGCTTTTCAATACCTGATTCTGGTACACAATAATCTTTCCAACAGGACCTGGTTATATTATGTGGAAAACAAGATGCTGGATTATCTTATTTCCCCCTCCCCCTTAACTTTGTCAAGAGGGATGTAGTCATCAAAATGTTCTACTGTGTTATTGAGATCAAGGTCAAGTATCCACTGAGTCATGAAAAATAGCAGTTTTCATTTTGGGGCAGTTGGTCTCACTCAAAGTGCCTCTACACTGTAGAATGAATGCAGTCGGACACCTCCTTTAAAGGTATTGTATAAGATCACATGCATTGTGATCTTATTCAGAAAGAATATCCCCGTAGGCAGCAAAATCAGGCAATTCCAACTGGATGGCCACCCATGAGTGTCTTCCTCCAGGGGCAAACCAAGAATATGCAACTTGGAAGTCCCTGAACAGACTCAGAAGTGGTGTTGGAAGATCAAAAGACAAGCTGGCAGAGAAGAATCCTCCATCCTGAATGACTGTGGAGCAGAACAAACAACTCTGCACCTGTATGCCTGTCCACAATGCCCTGCCTCATGCACAGAGAAAGAATTGTTTAAAGCAGGGCTCCTCAAACTTTTAAGGCAGGGGGCCAGTTCATTGTCACTCAGACTGTTGGCCAGACTATATTTTGAGAAAAACATGAAAGAACAATACAGCATTTTAAATGATGAACAATTTTAACCAACATAATTTTACCAGTATATAATTTTACCATAATTTTACCATGGGAATGGTGGGCCTACTTTTGGCTGATCAGATAGTAAAGTTAATTCAGATTGTTGTTGTGTTGTTGTTATTGTTGTTGTTGTGTGACTATTTATTTCAGATATTTGTACCCGGCCCTTCTCAACTCCCCCCGGGGGGACAGGACTCAGGGCAGCTTCCAACCGGCAACAATTCGATGCCTCCAACGTACACATAATAAAATCCAATAATTACATACATTTAAAACATTAAATCACATTAATTAATTCAAATCTGTTTCTGTTTCAATAACAGCCAGGTGGCCTTATCTAAATCTGAAACAACTTGAAGGGTGACCCTAAGTCTAAAGTTTAGACCAGGGGCCGAGTAAATGACCTTGGAGGGCCACATCTGGCCCGCGGGCCTTAGTTTGAGAACTCCTGGTTTAAAGCTACAGACAATGGGGTCGCTGTTGCCAATTTTTGGTCTAAAAGAGCTTGTGATCACTTTATTTTATCAGTTCTAGATAAACTATTTCATCCGTTTCAGATAAACTATTTTATGCAATGCTTTTGACATGAAATAAAAATGCACTGTATAAGACCATTAGCCTTCTCTAACCAAAGTGTACTGCTGCCCCATAAAACGATAACACCCATGATGCCATAGCATTCAGTTATGTCAGTTAAAGTGCTATCAAACTGCATTAATTCTGCAGTGCAGATGCACCCTCGGTCTCACTCAGGTTTAATTCTGCCCCACAGGGTTGTTTTGAGTGTACGGTGGGAAGGAAGGCTCTCGTGGATACCTCTTTTGAGCTCACTGGAGAAATGCAGAACACAATGGACAGAGTGTGATTTCAGTGTTAAGGGAAGAATGAGTCAAGAAGTCCAAATTCTATAAAACGGAGAATTGTTTTCCTTTGCTATTCCCTTGAGGAAAGACAAGACAGGGGGCAATGGCTCTTTGAGCGCTTGGCACAGCTTATAGGCTTTAACACTGTCAAGAAAGCTTTGCAATTGGGTATTTGGGAAGCCGCTTACAATCTTCTCCCACAGGATTGCTATGTCTTGTGATGAAACAGCTGTAATGATCAGGCGGCCCCAAGGAGGACCTCCTGAAGTCATTTAAGTGTATCTTCCAGAAGTATTTTGGTGGAGATAATTAGCGCTGCCAAGGAGATTGAATCAGTGCCCCTTGGGAATCCAAACGAAGCCAACCCTCACGGCCCAAAAGTGAAGCCACTTTTCTCTCTGCCTTTCTTTCGCCAAACATTGATCTAACAAGCTTGAGCACATTTGACCTACATTATTTTGAATAACATTCAGAATAGTTATTTTTGGACCGCTGTGCCAAAAAAGAATAATTGAGTTCTATTGTCAGCTCACAGGAGAGGGGTAGGGAGAAGATCCTATAGATAGGTAACTTGAATGTTGCGCCCTGAGGAAAAAGCCAAGGCTTGATCAAAGGCCAGGAACCTCTACCATTCTCACTACAGTGAATCACTCCACTAAACAAGGAAAGCTCTTAGCTAATCTTTTGAATGTTGGAAGCCAGCTTTCAATCCTTTGTGCAGCTTGGAAAAAAAAAGAAACTGGATGACTCTAGGCTAAATCAGCAGCCAGCATATAGTGCAGAAAAGAAAAAGAAGAGGGAAGGAAAACCCATGCTTATAAACTCGCCTTGTGGAAAGCAGGTCACACTTATTACTAGATGATTTTCTATGGGCAGGTAACCACAATGGCTAGTTCTTAAAAATATTCAGAATCCTCTCTCTTATTTAACCAACTAGACCTTATATATGTTGTTGTCGTTGTTTATTCATTCAGTCGTTTCCGACTCTTCATGACCTCATGGACCAGCCCACACCAGAGCTCCCTGTCAGCCATCACCACCCCCAGGCTCCTTCAAGGCCAATCCAGTCACTTCAAGGATGCCATCCATCCATCTTGCCCTTGGTCAGCCCCTCTTCCTTTTTCCTTTCATTTTCCTCAGCATCATTGTCTTCTCCAAGCTTTACTTTCTTCTCATGATGTGGCCAAAGTACTTCATCTTGACCTCTACTATCCTTCCCTCTAATGAGCAGTCGGGCTTTATTTCCTGAAGTATGGACTGGTTGGATCTTCTCGCAGTCCAAGGCACCCTCAGCACTTTCCTCCAAAACCACCAAAGCATCTATCTTCCTTCGCTCAGCCTTCCCTATGGTCCAGCTCTCACATCCATAGGTGACTATGGGGAATACCATTGCTTTAACTATGCGGATCTTCGTTGCCAGCGTGATGTCTCTACTCTTCACTATTTTATCAAGATTAGACATTGCTCTCCTGCCAAGAAGTAAGCGTCTCCTCATTTCCTGGCTGTAGTCTGCGTCTGGAGTAATCTTTGCACCTAGAACCTTATATATAGCAATAACAATTCTTTACGAACTCTCAGGCAACTGTGCTAAGTATAAAACATCTTCAGTTAGCCACTAGGGGGCAGGTTACAACTAATTATCATCTACTGTACTAAGGGTGCATCTACAGTGTAGGATTAATGCAGTTTGACAACCCCCCCCCCTTAACTACTGCAATGCTACCTTACCATCACCAAACTACAAATACCAGGATTCTATAGCATTGAGCCTTGATCATTAAAGTGGGGTCAAACTACTTTAATTTTGCAGTGCAAATGCACGCTATGTTTACAATTACAGACTGTGTTGACCAAACCTTAAGCCTAGCATTCTCACCCAGAAACTCTGGACTCATAGCTATGCCTCTCCCCTTCACAGTGTTTTCTTCTTCCGTGTACAAAAGCTGCAAAACCAGTCTTTTATTTACTGGCCGTTCCTAAGAAAGGACGGTAAAGTGCTTTTTTTTAAATTTGTGTAACTTCCTGCATCATCTACTCTCTTCTGCTTTGCAATCTCTAAATTGGAACGGTGGGAACCACATAATTTCCCTTTGCAATCAGCTTGGTTAGGTTTTGTTTTTTTTAGGAGACCCAATGAGTCTGATTCTCAGAAGGTAGATTTTTGGGAACTATTTATCCCCTGTGTATCCTTCCAGTTCCAATAATAAGCCCTAAAAATGCTGTATTTCATGGAATCAGGAAATGGGGAAAGTGTGATTTTGGCAGAAGCCAGGCTCAAATTAGTCTCACCGACTCTGAAGACACCATTGCCTGATCCTAGAACAGGTTTACAAGTCTAAAGAAAAGAGGTAGGCTACAAAAGCACCACTATGTCCAGATGATCAATAAAGACGGGTAGCTCCTTATTTCAATCCCAGTAACTTCAGAAGTCATCGAGGAACCTTTCCCATTCATGTTAGCAAGTCTCACGAGTGACCTGCTTCTGATTTACAGTAATTGGGGATGGTTCTTCTATTCC